ACCACAAAGGAGAGTTAATGAAATAAATAATGCACAGCTGGGGGAGTCTTGTGCTGAAATTAGAAACTGGAAATGAAATTAGAACCCACCTGGGAAATGAGTTCTGCAAGTACATGCAAACACCTTGGAGGACAACTTGAATAAACAGACTTCTGCAAAAAGGTGGTACATATAACCCTTTATAGGGCAAGTTACCATTTCTGATCACTTGCATACCTCTTACAAATGGAGTCCCCTCAGTCCCTCAGGGACGTCTAGAAGCACAAGATCTATATCCAGCCATTCAGCAAAGATACAGTGCTTTTCATCTTATTTTAGGATTTGACCAATGAGATGAGCCCTTGAAAGTCAAGAAAAAAAAAAGTAACAAGCTAATTGAAAAGTAAAAAAGTTAATAAACCCGGTTAACAGTTATATTTAGGTTTATAAATCGGAAAAATGTAAGTGCCAGTATCAGCATTAATGCCCCTAAGGTTATGGTGTACCAAAAAACAAAAACAAAAGTGTTTCTATCAAACTTAGATTGTTTTTCATGAATCTTATAGAAGAACTTATTTTTTTTTTTTATATTTTTCTTAATATAGTCAGGGAAGTTGATGTTTCTTGTTTTTACATTGACATTAATTTTGCCATCTAAATATTACAAAGGTAATAAGGTCTTGTTCTGGATTCCAATAACACTATTGGCTTGAAATGTGGATTTTCAAAGGATTTCACTGAGTGCCCTATAAAGGGATAAAACTTTATGAATAAAGTATATTGTACAGGGTATTTTATCAGGGGTCATTGCTTTGGAGCAAGACAAAGAGCATAATTATGTTAATTTTTACAAATTAAAATCTACACAGTTTGGCTTGCACTAATTCAGCACCTTTTACTTCGATGCTGCTAAATATAAACCATCTAATGAAACAAACTGACCCCAGAAGTCCCCTGATTTTGAGTCTTATGTCTAGGTCTGATCAGAAAAAATGCAGTTCTCGAAGGGCTCAGAGGTTTGTTACAGAGCACAAATCAACAAACAGCATCAGGAGACCAAGCAAGCACAATATAATAGGTTAGGAATCAGGTTGTGGAGCAGATTTAATGAGCAATCTGGAAAAGATCACTTTGTTTAAGTGGTGGTAACAGAACAATAAGTGACAATACTCCATCATTAGGAACGCACTAACATAGCACTGTATGGGGCGAAAGATTTCCCATGGTTATATATAATGTTCAGCCTCTGTCCAATGAAAATACGGGGTAACGTTTGTGTTTCAAACATGGGTTAAACCCACTAACGATCAGCATTTTCCTCCCTTCCCTTCCAATTGGCAAAAAAAGCTTAGTCTAACCCCCCACGGGAAATCTGCATGGCTTCTTTCCCCCAACAATTAATGGGTTCAAATTAAAGTTACTTTCTTACATTCATGTAAACTAAAAGTTAGAAAAATAAAAATAAGAATAAGAGACTGTAGAGTAATCAAAATGTTACAACGTAAATAAAAATACTGTACAGTTAGTAAAATAGTTCAGATTAAAGAAAAAATTCAACAGAATTGGGGAGAGGAGTTGCTAAAGAAATTCATAAATCGTGCACAGATATTAATGTATAGAAAACACAAACAGGCTACTTACAAGAATATGAAAATCACAGCAGGGGTGTGAACACTTGGTTATGAAATCCAACAGCAGCTGCAAGGAAAGATCTGTGATAACACTATTTTGTGCACCTAAGGTGCAGTAACAGTCCCTAAAAGAGCTCTATCTCTATCCTTTCGTTTCCCTATCGCCTGCCTTGGTTCTAGAGGTCTCCCTGAGCAGAACTGCAACAATCTACATCACTGCTGTATATATAGCATGACTGCATCTAAAAATTGCATTAAAGGAAGCAAATAAGTTAAAGGTTACCCTCTGATACACTTAATCTGGTTTATTTAGGAAATAGTTACTGCATGAGTGGCTCTGATTTCTTAAAATGACTTTAATATGTTTATCTAAAGTGACATCTTAAGGGTTTACCAATGCAATCTCAACCTTGTGAAAGGTTTTCTGGTAGGAATGAGACTCTTTACACACATTTATTAGCCTCTAGAGTGAATTGTTTATTTTCATGAACACCTTTTTGGAATTTTGCACATACCAGTCCAACTATCCACTAAATCTCTCATTAAAATAGAGAAATATGGCAGATGATTTGTATCACTCTTTAGATATCCTAGTTTTAGTTCAAGAAACTTAAACGAGACTCACTAGGGTGGACATTTGCACTTATATTGATTATTTAAAAGGATAAAATGATATTACATACTAAGGATGGTTTTAATAAGGAAACATTTTCTGCCATAAGCTGTTTAAAAAGAATGGAAGATGCATAGGATAACACAATTTAGACCAGGCAGCAAAGATCAAATGCACGGGAGAGCCACGGGAAGCTTGTTAGAGTACATAGAATAAAGGACTCTCTGAAAGATGTTTTAAAAAAAAAGGTTGCATTTCTGAAATTGCTTTATAATGTGCCTTAAATACAGAGTGGATTATAGTGAGATCCAGCTGCTGTGTTGAAAAATTACATATTTTTAAGATCTGCTTCCCTCTCTTTAGGGAAAAAAAAGAAAATAAAAAGATAAATGTGTCAGACCCTCAGTGGGGATGCTGATATTTCATGGATGAAGAAGACACAAGGCGTTTCTCATTAAACCCCTTCTGGATGTGTCATGGTTTACGCTCAATAAAGTGATAAGGCAAGGGGAGCACGAAAGCCTCAAAGCTCACCTACCCCCACAAATCAACACGTTCACAAGTAAACTGCATCCCCCCCCACCCTCTATGCAGGAAAGGAGTCTTCAATCCAAAGAGGGTAAATACAGTGGAAAGAATAAGACTTTATAAATGTATTCTAAAACACAAAAAGACAAATAAAGAATTATGACTGAATTAATCAGAGTTAAGCTCTCAATGATGCAGATTTGTGTGTTTTGTGACCAGGCCTTAGTGATTTGAAGAATGAGGCCCTGAGGTTTAGTGCTTGCATCGAGCACCAGGAGATGACTGGTCCAGGAACAGCAGGGTCTGACACGAAACCAGACGCCTATTTGCATGCCGTCCGCTGGATTAGAGGTGTCATGATGGAAGACAGATGTTAGCCAACAGAAGCTCTCTTATATTGGATAAAATAGACTAAGGTAACATCTATTTTAGCTGTTTAAGTATTTCCCAAATATGTTGGTTCAAAGACTCCTTAAAGTTTAATGAAGCTTTCATTAAATCCTTATTTACACAGATGTCAGACAACACTTAATCTAAACCAGTTCAGTTTTTGACATCCGGAGACCTGTCCTTGGTACTGAAATTGGTCCGTTGAGCAAAATATTGCCAACAAATTATTCGAAATTATCACAAACACTTCTTGGTTGATCAGAAATGAGGAAACAAACCTCTCCACAAAAACAACTTTAAATCTGTCATCGGCTCAAAACAGAGACGCTCAGCCCCCCCACCTTACTCGGCATGTATTTATGTAACAGTGGGAATAAATGACAGGATTCCCGGAGCCAGAACTGTAGTTTTAACTGCCACTTCCTGACGGTTTGAAGGCAGAGAATAACAGAGTGAGGAGGTGTGGAATGTCAGCTATGCATGCATGTAAAGCAGCTCCATGTTGCAAACGCTATATAATGACAGATGCTGCGCCCTGCGGTGCTGCTTAGGGGGCCCGGCAGCCAACTTTCAGGCATGCTGCCAACACCTTGGTAGACTACATTATCTTTTGGGAAAACAAAGAAATGCTTGGAGAGTCCTGGATGTTTGCAAAAAGATTTTATTTTGGTATATTCTTTATCTTTTGGGTACAGTTCTGTAGACTTGTCAGAAGATTGATGAAGGCAAAGGAGCTGGTAGAGGACCTCTACAGGATCAGAACCCCCCCTGTTAGATTTTTATCTTTCTTGCAAGATACAAGCCCAATACCTGTTTACAACCATGCTATTAGCAGCACATCTGTCTACTACAGCTGTTAGTGAATCAGCAGTTTGTAACCTGCTTTGAAAGTATTTTTTCTACATTCATGCTTACCGCAGTTCTTTTGGCATTTTGTGTCATTTCTTTATAGGAAGCAAGAACTTTTAAAAGGTATTGGCAGATATTTTTCTCAAAACAAAGAAGGTATTACCTGCAAAAGCATTCCAGGAGATCTTTTAGTATATTTTATCCTGTATTCTAAAGCACTTGATGCATATGTGTGAGGCAACAAAACAAGAAAAACTGTGTGCAGAAATAGGAAAAAAACCAAATATACAAGAACAAATTTGTAAGCAATAAGATATTTATTTAAAAGGCACTTGTGGTCATCTGAAAATATATATATATCCAAAAAATATTGAACATATTTTGGTCAGGGGAGTAAAAAAAAAATGCTTTAACACCATTCCAGCTTTTGAAAGTCCCATTTGTTTTAGTCCGTTTAACTGTAAAAGTAGATTTAGTTAAATTCAGTCAGTAACACGGGTAATGATGAAAAACAGAGGTGAACTCAGCCAATTAAGCAATTAAATTGTTTTTTTTTTTTTGCACCTGAATGTCCGAGTTACCGCCTCTGCCTTAATGTTGGACCATAAGATTATATAAATAAAAAAAGCTCACCAATAAAATAAAAAAGAAATCATATAACAGCAAAAAAAGATAACAGAGAAAAGATAATACCGGACCATAGTATCAAGTTTTTGTTCATCTTCCAGTAACAAAGCAGAAAAATACACAAACTGTATAAACAGTTTTAGCACCATTGTTAAGACATTTGACTGGGGTTGACCTTTATGAAAAAGAAAATCAAATTAAAACCACAAAAAAACAAAAGAAGAAAGCACGTAAACCCAAATAAATTTGAAACCTTCGACAGAGCAGTAGCAGTAAACTCATGGAGTGATGCTGAATCCACTATCACAGCTGGAGATCTTTGACATGTCAAAGAAATGTGCAAATACAGCATAAACCTAAAACTGAATTAATGAATGAACTGTTTGATTTGTTGTTCTTGAAACAAAGAAAAATTAATTGAATTTAATGCTGCTAAGGTAAAATAAGTCAGCAGGATTGTCACTGAGCACATTAAGCACTGCTTTTCTGTATTAGCTTTCATAGTTAGGTATTCAGGCCAAACAGCAAAGAGCAGACATATTTAAGCACAAGGCTTTTGATGTGAGGCTACTTTTAACAGCTGTGGTGTTTCATCTCAGTGTTTCAGATGTAGAGGGAACAGCTGAGTGTTACGGATCCTGAGAACCAACCTAGGAGCATAAGGAAAAGAGAAAATGTTTAAGGAGTACGGCAGGGAGAATTTAAACACTATAAACCTACAACTACAACAGCCATGTATGTACCATACAAGACCAGGTAGATTCTGCAACAGGGAGGATGAAGCAGTTGTACCCACTGAAACATGTTGCTCAGAAGAGGCCGCTGATCTCCTCCGTTACTGGATCGAGGTCTATGTCGTAGAAACAAGGTCGGGTTGGCAGGCCGGGCATTGTGCTCATCTGTAGAAACAGCCATGGAAACGGAGTATTTCAAGACACTTTAAATGGATCGTATTACAGACCTATCAAAGGAAGGAAACATTACACAGCAGCTGCATCTGTTCTGCAACTGTTTTTTTTTTTTATATAAAACTCATCAATATGTCAGTGGCTTAAAAAATAAATCAGTACATGTTAGATGTATGGTAAACTTCACTAAAACCATGCATTAGAATGGTCTCCACAACACAGCTGCTTGAGACCCTGCAGAGGTTCAGCTTCTAAACGTGGTGATCAGGTGAGTGGGATCAACCCCTACAGGTCCAATAACAATAATCTGGACTCATTTAACTTCACGTCAACGGGGTAGAAAATGGCAGCCTTGTTCATAGAGAGGACAATGGGGCGGCCTCTAGGGCAGGAGGTTTAATCAAGTCAAACCCGTTCCAGTGATTACAGCTAAAACATTATTCCCTGAAGTCCAGCTCAAAGAAAGAGGATGACTCTGATTGATAATCACTGCTTTGCAAACTACAAACATAGTTGGGAAACATAATGCAATATCTAAGACTAATGCACATGTAGAACATAAGAAAAAAATCTGTGCCATAGTTGGAAAATGTGCTTCGAACCAAACAAATCAAGTGATTTCAGAAAGTCACTGAAGAAATGTGTGATAGTGATAAGGAAAAACTGGAGAAAAACATTAAAATAATAGTAATATCTGAATAATAACACACCATAAAAGACAGGGGATAAACTTAGACACTTATTACTGCAGAGATTAAAATGTCTGTTTAGTAAATAAAGCCTAAATGGATCAGAAAGAAGGTGGGTTGAAATACAAACAAAAAAAAGGAATATAAACCTCAGACAGTACAGTTTATGTAGGTCTAAAAAAAGCCACCTTATCCACTTGGCCACCAAAACTAAGAAATTTGTATTTCGGTCAGTGGTGACAAAAGTACAGACATTTGTTACTGAAGTAGAAGTATAGATATTGCAGTTTTTAAAACACTCTGGTAAAAGTAGAAGTATCTTTACTCAAGTAAAAGTGAAAAAGTATGTGCTCCAAAAAATACTTAAGAGTATAAAAGTATAAACCAAACTAAAAAAAAAAAAAACAGCCAGGTGCCACTATATGAATTAGAAGCTCAATTTTTCGACTATTTTGAAAGATTCTTTGAGATAGGGCCAAGAATTTGGGAGGTCTTGTTGGTCTCCGTCTCACGATACGCTCTCGCCTGCATCCGACCTTTCAGACATTTCAACATCTTTTTCTGAATCCTACATTGTAGCATGGCATAGACAATTCGAGTTTGCAGTTTGAAGAACACCTGCTTGCTTCTGATGATTTCCTTTAGCTAACCAATGAGTGTTTGCGTTATATGACTCATCCAATTACGCTAGTTTTCACTAGATGTGGATGGAGCCAATGATCTGCATTGCATGGCGCACATGACGGGAAATAAATATTTATAAACGTTAAACCAAAAGTCACGAGTAACGTTTGTTTTTAAAATGTAAGTAATAGAAAGTACAGATACTTGTGTGAAAATGTAATGAGTAGAAGTCAGAAGTAGGAAGAAAATAAGTAAAGAGGTAAAGTATAGATACCTAAAAATGTACTTAAGCACAATAACAAAAGCATTTCTACTTTGTTACTTGACACCTCTGATTTCGGTTACCTTACTTTTTTTTTTTATTTCAATTGAAACCATTTCTGAGATTGAATATTGTTCTGTTTTCAGCAACCATCAAATCAGTGACATTTCTTTTAAAGCTGTTTTATATGCACCCAACACCTCGAAGCAGTGTCCTAAGGTTTCCGTTGGTTAACTTTTATTTCTTAAACACAATTTTATGCCCCTTACTATTTCAATTAAGAGCCTATAAAAGTATGAAAATCACCTTAACTTTATTAACCTCATGATCAATGATCAATTTGTAACTACTGAAGAAGCTGTAATTATAACCAAAGTAAATCATGTCACTCGAATAAAATAAATTTCCCTTTAATTCGACACATCATGGACTAGCTTGTCAGTTTTCACTTCAGCCATAGATATATTTTAAAAGGAAATTCATCACTTAAATACATCAGAAAAGGTGTGCTGTTATGTGGAGCAGCAGCTGGCCTACAGATGTTCCTGCTAGTGTATGTTCAACCCCAAATGTCACTGACATGTTTTAGCCATCTACTGAAGCCAGTCTGAGGTAAATTTGTTCTTTCCCATGATAAAGGGTCCTAGCTCTACATGTAACAAGAATGATCAGAAAATAATAGTCCGCTGGCCCTTACAGAGGAATAACACCAAAATCTGACGGCTGCTGAACTTAATGCATTATTCAACAAGCGATTTTAAATCTAAAGCCAGTAAAAATACGTATAGGCATCAGATTAGGATGAAGAAAGTAAAAAAAGTTAAGGACACACGAAAAGTAGACAGCAGTAGAAACGGTTAATGAAATTAATAACATCACTCTGAACTTAATCATGTGAGCGCAGACTCACAAGTTACAAGTTTCATGTACGCTAAGTAAATTAAGTAATTAGACAAACTGAATAATGAACATTTGGTAAAAACCCAGTTCAGTGTTCGGAATACTAGAGACAACTCTTAAAAACACATTTTCCATCTCAAAAGTGGAATCATCTAGTCCAGAAGGACAGGAAAACCATCCTGTTCATTAGAGAGGCAGCGACATTCTTTGCATGCCTCCCTTCTACTGACCCAGGGGCAGTTTTATGGGACCATTAGTACAAATGAGACAGGAGGAAGTGAGCAAAGAGTTTCCTGTCTGAGGAAGTCTAAAGCAGGGTGGACATGTATATACAATCTGACATAGCGGATGTGGATCGTCAGCTCCAGCTCAGCTTCTGGTTGCATTTCAAGTATGCAACAGGCACATTCCTGAAACAATAGTAGATGACTCAAACTAGAAGTAAAGGAGCTTCTTCTTCGTCATTCAAGAGATTAAATGGTTGAGAGTAATGGGAAAACGCTGAATAATCAATAAAAGAGGAGTAGTTTCCAACAAGTAAAAGGTTTATATGCGAGTGGAATTAAACGTTTGGTTAAACAGAAAACTTTAGCATCTTTAAGTAACTTCTTCAAACGGTTGTATACCTTTGGTAGCAGCTTAGCACTCAATAGATTTAATAAAAACTGTAAAAGAGGAGCCTACTCATTGAATCCTTAAGACAGAAACTGTTACATACTGCCATTGATCTGTTTGTTTCTATATATACGGCTAAATAACCATATCTAAGACCATATCTAAATGGCTTTGATTGGAAAAATAATTTTTTTTTTTTAAAGTAATAAATATTTGAGTTTGACTACGTTATGACAAAGAGAACACTTGACTAATAACCAATTTAAAAATGAAAAGAATGAAAAAAAAAACACCACCAATTTGGATCACATTGCCTGCGGTGAGAAGAGCCACACTGTGATCATATTATCCCTCCAATTTAATATAATGCTGATTTATGGTCATTAATTTATAAAGTTTTAGTAATTTCATTAAATTCCCAAAATAGGAAGTCAAAATAAATGTTTCCTGTTGGCATTTAAATTACTTATTGAGATGAAAAATATGTGAATGAAAGACTGATGTCACTTAAGAGAATAAAAACATAATACAGCATGAACATTTAAAAAAAAAAAATTCAAACTTTTGGATCTCTTTTAGTCTTCAAAGCAACAAAAGATGAGCTCTTACCACCATCACGCACGCCCCCCCCCCCTAAAGCCTCAGAACAAGTTGGCACTTGCAAAAACACGTAACACGCCGTGGCTAAAGTTGGAAACTCCACTCTGCCAAATAAGTCCCTCAATTATCTGCAGACACAACGAGCCTTTGTGGGGAACAACCCTGCAGGACACAGGGTAGCTGGATTCACCCCCCCTTTAGAGAAAAGTCTTGAAGAACAACAGATATTCACTATGAATGGGGATTAAGAAGCAAAACTCGATTCACGTTATGACGATGAGCTGGTCAATCTTCAACCTGTTAAAACTGTTTTGAACTTCCAGATCAGTCAGCTTTTAATAGTTTTAGATGAGGGACACATACAGCACAGAGATCTGTTGTTCTGCCGGTGACTCGCTCTCTGACATGTCTGAAGCATTAGATCAGGCCAGTTCTTTACTCACTGATGATCCTCATCCTTTACTAGCATTTTGAACAAACCACGGTTCCCATACTGGTAACTCCACCTGTCCCAGTCAGCTGGATCTTCTGACATTTTCATATTTAGTGCTGAATGCAGCTCAAGTCTAATTTCTGCATCTGCTAAAGCATTGCAAATAGATTCTTTAGAGATATTCTTTCTATGCTTCATGTATTTCTGGTTTTTCTGTCTTTTTTTAACACTGACATTCCAATAAGTCAAAACATAACTTGCACTGAATATAAGCAGAAAATGGAAGCAGATTTGTCAATGAGAGACCTGCTAGCAGTCAGCTGAAGGGTTCAGAGTCTGGTGTTGCCACTGCGTGAGTGGAGGATCAAGGGCGGGTTTGGGGAGAACGGACAGATGCCAGCAACCTTGTTTCACAGCATGGCCAGGGGTTGACACCTCCACCCCTGACAATCCGAAGCGGACCCTAAGGGTACGCTGGTGAAACGGCGGGAGGCGAAGCATGCAGGAACTGGCTTCCTTCCTGCCCGGCCCATCGTTGAACCCCCCGAGGGGTTCTAGACAGGGTAGGACAGGACAGGAAGAAAAGCAGAGGACATGACTGAAATTACCAAACACTGACCAGTGACAAAACTTAGAAATGTAAGATCTTATGAACTATGTTTTAATCAATAAACTCTTCATTAACCAGCAGAAAGTAGCCATGTTTGTACCAGAGAGCTCAAACATTTACAGCTGTGGGGGTCGGGGCTCTTTTCCAAACCGAAATATCCACTGTTTCTAAATCTTTTTAAGCTATTTTAATGTAAAACCAAAAAGCAACATTCATAACATATTTCTATAGTGGCATAAGCAGACTGGATGGATGCTTAGACAGAAAGGTGGATGGATGACTGATAAATGGAGTATTTGGATAAATTAATGTATGCACTGAATGGAGACAGCAGAGAACAAGAGACTTGGATGCATTGATGGATTTGTGAATTGATAAGATGTAGGAAAGGATGCCTGGAGAAATAGATGATGATGCTGAATGGATAGACGGATGAACTTTTGGATGAACAGACGGAAGGAAAAGTGGATGGACAGACCTTAAAATAATGGGCTAATTGCGTTTCTACCAACCAAACATGTCCCTAAAGTAACAGAGTAAATAGACACATGCTCAAAGTAATCAAACTATAAATTTATCATATGTTTTAGCAGCATTTGTGGGTAAAACCCCCCCCTCCAGATTTCTGTTTAACATTTCGGCATCAAACTAAAAAATCAAATCATATTAAACATTGATCATACTCCGTGTTTAAAAGGTTAAATGTGTTGCTAGTTTTAACATCCAAATCCCTCTTACCGTTCCCACTAGTGGGTAGATGAAGCCTGCTCCAATACTTGCACGGACATCCCTGATGGGCAGAACGAATCCAGTGGGTGCGCCTTTCTTATCAGGCATGTGGGACAGGGACAGATGGGTCTTTGCCATGCAGATGGGCAATGATCCATAACCCTAAATACAAGCATAAAAACGGGGTTATATAGTATAAATAGAGAGCAGGGGGAGGATAGAGGCAACAGGATTCCCGTCCCTTTGTGAGTCTTTCATTACAGCTGCAGTGATCTCACCTGTTGATTATAGTAATCTATTTTGCTCCTGGCCTCTGGAGACAGCTCGATGTCCTCCGCTCCGTACACTTTCTGGGCTATTGTTCGGATCTTCTCCAGTATTGGCATCTGTGGGAAAAGCAGCGCATCGGCAACGTGTAGACACAGAGGGACAGGGAGCCAATAAAGGAGGGGAAGTACCAATTAGAGTAAACATCTGTATGAGGCCAACACTAATCTGAAGTGTTTAACCAAGTGATTCGATTTAAGGACCGAGTATAACAAGCCAAGTCTTCTGACACTTCCCACTGGATTTCAAGAGTTCATATCAGTCCGAATAAGTGTTTTTCTCTTAACAAGCATGCTGTGAATGGAACAACCCTTAATGACAGCCAATGTGATGGCGGCAGTTAATTTAAGTCACAACTACTTCATCTAAAAAACTCCAAACAGCTGATTTTTTTGTAACCTCAACAAGCTTTGGCGAAAACAAATTAATCATTGGGTGCAAACAAAGTATCCAAAGAAAATCAAACATGAAGGTATTTCAATGGTAAGAAATGTTGGTGTACGTAGCACCTGAGCTAACCTCTGTATTATACAGGAACTGGAAGTTTGCAGGTCTGCTAGCTGCCTCTTTCACGGCCTTGGCCAGCTGTAAAGAGCCCCGCCCACCCTGCGACCAGTGCTGACACGGCACAGCGTCAGAAGCGCCACACTCTCTGGCTATCTGACACACCAGGTCAATCTCTGCTTGGGTGTCCGTCCTAAATGACCAGAGGGGAGAGTCTTATATGCGATCACTCAAAGGACATGAAATGAGAATCTGATGGATTTAAAAACTTGGTATTTTGGATTTGAAATGGTTTAAAGTACCTGAAAGCGTTCAGTGCCACCACCACAGGAACGCCAAATAGGTGGGCAATCTGGATTTGCTTCTTCAGGTTGCTACGGCAGCCGCTGGCAACGAGGCTGAGGTTCTACGAGAGAAACGCACAAAAAACTCAGAGGCTTAAAAAAAAAAAACAACAGGAGCATTTGGTTAAACTTGTTTTTTTTTTCAGTTCCTTTCAAAAGGTCATAATAAAAAACTAACTAATCTATTCTATATGTATTTAATATGATAAACCAACACAAATAAAAGGCAAACTGAAGTCCCCCTCCCCCCCCTTTTTGTAAATCGTTTGGCATGAATGTTTCTTAGCCCACTTTAGCCTAATATTTCCTAAAATAAATTCTAGTCTCGTAATTATTAAATGAGATCCACATGAACATGTGGAGAATGATCGACTGGCTGGTTGACACCAAACTGTTTGGCCTTGGTAAAAGCAACCCTACTCGTCACCCTGAAAAATCCATCCCCACCATGAAACATTTCTGACAGCAGCAGCATCATGCTGTCTGGGTACAGAAACGGGGTAGCTAGTAAAATTGATGAGAAGATGGATGCAGCCAAATAGGAAGGAATCTTGAAGACAACTTTATAGAGGCTGTAAAAGTTCTACTTCAAGCAGGAGGAGCCCAAATATAGAACCAATACCATAGATTAGATCACATTATTTTGACTATATTTAAAGGTGCAGCAGGAGATCTTTTCTAACCGTTTTTTACCATGTGGCTTAAAGATCTCACCATAGCCACTTAGCAAGCAGTGAAATAGAAGGTCTGGAAGTGAAACTAAAATAAATGGTGCCCAATACAGTGAGAAATCAATGAATAACCCCAACCAATCACAATAGACGGCCCGTTGTACACGTTTGGGTTCTGACATGTGAATTACGGTCGTCTGTTTGTCCCTCCCCCCTAGGCGCATAGCCTGACACATGAACGGATCGATCCCCCAATGCTCGTGCAGGACGCCATGGCTGGAAGCTAGCCACTGTTATGCTACGTTCACACCTAAAGCTAACCTGACAACAGCCAGATGCATGTCTCGCTCCGCCTAGCTCCACTCACATACATCTGGGAACCCGCTCATTGAAAATGATTTCCCCAACCGAATTTATGGTCTGTCCAATCAGGACGCAGGGCGGGTGTGTCCTGATTGGCGGCTCGCATTGAGGAAGCAAGCGTTAGCATTGATGCTGCTATTTCTTCTGTGCTGTCCAATCTATCTGATATTGTTTCATTAAAAGAACATCAGAGAACGGCTTTGAAGGCTTTTGTTGGTGGAAACGATGTTTTCGCCCTTCTCCCGACCGGATTTGGCAAGAGCTTGATCTACCAAATGGCTCCTCCTCTCACAGCGTCACGGGTTAGCTTCGGTGTTAGTGGTTGAAATAGCACGTCAATAAAGATGACAAACAAGTGGCTTATCCAATCATATGCAAGGAGTTCTGATAAGGCCCAGCCTTCAGTAAAGGCAATTCCTATGGCGGGTTCCCAGATGTATGCGAGTGGAGCTAGGCCGAGCGAGACATGCATCTGGCTGTTGTCAGGTTAACCTAAAGCAGCAAGAGCAGCAAAAAAAAAAAACGCGCGTGCTGCTTCATTTTCTATGCTTGTACAAGTTCAGTTCTGATGTGTGGCTGAAGCATCTATGCTTGGGTGACCAGATTTGGGTTTCTGAAGTGTCAACTGCTGAAACGCTGACTGGACCGGACCTCAGGAGAGAGCCATGAGCCGCCCGTCCTCAGCCAGAGGAGGGGGGCTGGGGAGTGGTAAGGCAGGCGGGGGGGAAGCACAGGGATGCAGGTGTCCAGGCTACTGTTACCAGGTCAGGTTCAGTCACTCCGTCCTCCGCTGGCTCCCTGTTTCGACTACGTGCTGCACTGTAGTCGACCAAAATCCCGGTTGCTGCTCTGGCTGTGTGGTCAAAAAGTGGGTGTGATGCGCGTTGGGCTGAGCTACCTTATCCTTTCTTTGCCTGTAACAATGGCGGCTATATTTGCTGTGATCAGTGGGTAAAAAGCAGTTTGAATCTATTTTGAAGTGAGAAAGTCCACCTGAAAACATTGTCAGTGCAGTCAGTTCATCGGGTTTTCCATCCTGCCTTCAATTATTATTTCTGTCGGAGCCGCTCAGACCCAGGTACACCGGCGGTGCGCAGTCACTAGGAAACCCATTCAACTGCAGCCTATGGCCCAGTTTGCTGTGGTGGAGGCGACCGCCTGGAAGGCGTTTTTCATGTCCGTGATCCAAACTGCCGGCACCAGGGTATTGAAAGCAAACATGTTTTGCTGGCAGATTTCGTCATTTTGACTTAATTTAGGCGTTAATGACCAATTCAAATGAGTGATAATGGCGATCTGCATCATCAGCGCTGCTCCCGCTGCCATGTGCATTCATGTGTTTTGAAGGCATGGTTTCGAGGGGTGTTCTGAAGGGAGAATACATGGTTGTGTATGTTCAAAAATATATCTCGCTGGAACCGTTTTTCCAAGATCTCCTACAGCACCTTTAACAGTTGAAATCCAGAACTATAATTACGTTTGGTTCATCTATGAAATGATGAATCAATAAAATATGTTGTAAAATATCTTTGGGTGTGCTTACTTTTACAAAGCCTTCTGTGTATATATATATATATATATATAAATAAATAAATAAATAAAACTGTTACATGACCCCTCAGTTCATCTAACAGTCAACATCTACGGAAGCTGCTTCAGCTGAAACAGTGAGAGCAATTTAGAGAGAGATCATTTGGATGCTCACACAGGAAATCAGCGATTTCAGCTCACGTCAAGCTTAAATGCTCTCATTTCCTGCTCAACAATTTCACAGAGGAGTCAAAACAAATTCAGAAGAAATCACTTTAAGCATTAAAAATTGATTGCAGCCATTAACGTTGATTCTTAGATTCTTTTGGGTATTTTAACATTCATTTTTCTGTACTTGGTCTGGGTAATGAAATCTACTATAGAAAGTATCCCACATTATTTATTGTTCTGCCGTTGTCCTGTTCACTAAATTGGTAGCTACTCCAAAACAGAATTTGAAGCTCATCTTAACTCTGACATATAGATATAGAAATCTGACGTTTCCATGCATCTTCTTCTCTGAATCCTGACAGACTTTGGTGACCAAAGTCCAGGGATTCTGACCAGATAGGCCAGGAAACCACAAACTCATGTTCTATATGAGCTGCTAATCAAATAACCATGTTTGTGGTTTTCTATACAGGTGGAGCTCCGACTGCAACTGGAAACAAAGCAGATGAAACAGGCTGGCTCAGGCCACCGGTAGAACCTCCTTATGAGCTCCCTTAAATTTCTTAAAATGGCATCAAATCTCATGTCCTGTTCCATGAACAGAGCTCTGTTGCAGCTTTAATTTGCCTGCAACACAGCAAACGTTTCACTTAATGCAATTAAAACATCCCAGCCCATTTATGTTAATTAGATTGGAAGCTACTGTATGTTCAGAGCAGCCAATGCATCAGCTCAGACATATTTTCATATTTGTCATGCTCCCCAATCTGTACACTCTGGTATCTAAGCTCATACCTCGTCAATGTACTCTTTGGGAAGAGGCGCACCAGCTGACACCTAAAACACAAGACATATAATAAGACATAACAGAATAAACATCTTTTTTCTTTTCTTTTTTTAAAGTATGCAGTTGGAAAAAAATTAAGTAACGTAAATTCTTCTCATTAGGTTTTAAAACTGCTATTACTGCTACACATTTATTGAAGGGAAGCTGATGCTATGAAATTCCAACTACTTTAAAAGAGGAGTAAACAATTAAAAATAGTTTGTATTGCTCACAGATTTCACCAGTGAATTTAATGATGCTAAACTGATTTGACTGACAAACATTCAACTGATTCATAAGTAAAAATAAACCAAAAAAGGAGAGATGCTTTAAATACCGGGTAGGGATGCATCTTATCGATTAACTGATCTAAAATGACTTGATCCTAACTCAGTGGCATCATAATAACTGAACTGTTTGTTTGTGGCAGCTGTATTAAAAACAGCTTGAATCAAACTTTTTTTTAAATATATTATTAAGCATTTTAATAAGACATAAAAAAAAGAACCTATTAGGTAACTGAATTTAAAAAGATGATTAAAATATGTGAAGCACCTATGATTTCCAAGGTAAAGGGATGTAAAACCATTACTGAAAAACCGGATATGCTGCCTTTTGTTTTAATGAAGTGGATGTTAGCTGTGATACAACTCTCTGTGTAACACAGCCAGCCCTGGGAGAGACTTTTTGCCGTTAGAAGCGCTTTTGAACCATGTTTTTGTTGCTTTCACAGGACTAAAAACTCGACTCCATGAAGTCCATTAAATCCCCACCTTTCCAATCTACCGTGCTTATTGTTAACCCGTCTTCTTCTGCTGTTTAACCACTGTTTAGCGTTATGCCATCCACTTTTTTTTTTAATCATTGTCTTTCAAGCACAGATGAGAATTTGACATTGCTCAATCACAAAGTAGGACTATATGGGAGCAATTTAGGTGATAATTTAGGATTTATTTGTTTATATTTACAAACAAAAAAGCATGAAGTCCATTCTGCATCCTGTTAACATGCCTCCTTTTGGATTATTTCTCTTGCAAATATGAGTTAGACTCCGCTTAAGAATGAATAGTGGTAACATTAAACCACCAAAAAAACATTCTTCATAAGCGGACTTTATCTATGAATTTAAATCTAATCAACAAATCATTGCAAGCTGATTATTTGTTTACATCCCTGGTACAGGGGGTAGTTCACTGTATTTGAGTCTACAAAACATAGTGTTACTTTATTAGTCCTTAAGCTGCTGATTTAGTTTTTTTTTTCCTACCAATACATAAGAATATTCATAAAGGTTTATTAAAGTTAGCACAGAGAAAAAGAAACTGGTCACAATGCATACTTACATTTGGGCCCCCTCCATGCATCTTCAGCGCTCGCACAGTTGCAACCAGCACCACCACATTGGGCCTCAAACCAGAAGCTCGACACTTAATATTAAAGAATTTCTCCATCCCAATGTCTGCTCCGAAGCCAGCTTCAGTCACTTGAGAAAGACACACACACAACTTAAACACCAATAGTATGAAGACAGACATAAATACTAGCAATTTTCCAACATCATAACAAGAAACTGATCTAAGTAAACTGTCTAAAAGAGTGATTGTTGTTTAAATTAAATCAAAGCTGCTAAACTAAAATCTATGGTGAATCCTTGTAAAGACCACTGATTGTTTGACTATCATCTATCACTGTTGCTCTATTCAACAATGATTCGTTTACTGTTTAACACTAGATCTGACAAAAGTTGAACTCTTTAAAACAAACAGCAAACAGATGAGCTCATTCAGTCTTAACCAAGAGACCTGAACAGCAGAGAAGTAGTGATGCACCGAGTAATGGGTACGATCTAAGTGCTCTCTAAAAGACAGAGGGCCTTTCAGACGGACAGCACTGAACAAGGGCCTTTTGAATGAGCCAAAGGTCCACATGGAATCCAGGCTTTGTTAAGATGGGGTTTCCTCTTACGAGCCATTTTGGAGCGTGTAAGTGTGAGCATTAAGCGATTACCATCTACTTGTATAGTGACATGCGGACAGCTTTGAGTGGCCGGTTAAGTTTTGATGGAAGCTAGCCACTTTAGCTCTGAAAGTCAAAACTAACCACTGTGACTCCAAAAGGCCTTAAACTATAACACTCTTAAAATCAGTTTATTGAAGTATTTTTTAGAGGACTCAGATCTTTGAAACTCATCTTTTCAAAAGCTCTAAATCCTTCAAATATCAAAGTTCTCCACTTTTTTTTCTCCTTCTAATTTAAAACTAAAGTATTGCCAATTTCAAGATCCCCAATAATACAATAAAAAAAACTAATTAGACTAAACTAGACTAGATAAACAACTAAAAAAAAGACCATAAAAAGTAATCAAATATGGCCTGGTTTATTTTGAATCGCAGATTTGTTAAAAAAATGTTAAATTTCAGTCAGATTATATAATTGAAGCTGTATTTGATAAGACGATTCAAATATCTTTACTGAAGACAATCAACTGCAAGAAACGACAGCAAGTCTTATCTTCTCTTTTTTTCTTAATTTTTACAAAACATAAATAAATAAAAACTGTGCTGGTGTAAGATTCAGACTAATACTGCTAGCAGGTGCTAATGAAGGTGCAGATAGCGGTCAATGGATCAGTCAGGTTAAAAATCATCTGGTTTCCCACAGATTGGCAGGATGTTAGTTATGTCTGTCTGTTTAGGGAGAAACAATCAATGCAAATGCAGGCGACAAAACTAACAGCCCTGCTGCAAAGTGAGCAACATTAATCAGACCATTAACTATCTATACAGGTCTTAAAAAACCCATCAACCTTCAGGTTTGTTTTACACTGATTTCTATTAATAACGTCACTAATTTAGCCACTTATGTCTTCTCTGCTACAATGACAACATTTAATTCATATATATGAAGAGCTACTTTTTATTAATTAGTTCCACCTTTATATTGAAAATGAAAGAAGGAATAAGCTTCGAGAATAAAACAGACACATTGAAAAGTAGGTGCTTAAAAAATATTGTGTTTTAAATGTTTTTGTTTATATATAACCAGACCTAAAGATTTTTTTTTTTTATTAGTCTTTAGGGAAACTTAACGTGGGAAATCTTGAAAGCAGGAGCCGCGGGTTATTGGTAGTTAGTAAGCCAGACAGCTAATGATATAGGACTCATACACATCTGGTGTGTGGGATTCCCAGATTTCCAGCCCACATCCCCACAGAGAGCAGCAGCTTTTACCTTTAATCCCAGATTCCTAAGGACACCAAAATAACAAGAAGGCCGATGAAGCATGACCAGGAGTAATTTCATTATGATCCCCTCAAACATCAGAGGTCACAAAAGGTTCAAATACTTCCTTTATGGGAATTACAATAAACTAAAAGTGCACCACCCAGAATATAAGCCAGACATAAATATTTTTTTCTTTTTTTTTTTTTTTAAAGGTAGCGTTTGTTTTAAGATTTTGTGCAGCACCCAATCAGATAAAAGGTAATCTTTTCTCTAAAGTGATCAGATACTTGTTTTTGCATCTGCCATATGCTCTTTAGAAGAGCATGGCATCACTGGACTGTTGTAATCATCCTCAGTATCCTATTCTGCTGACTAGGATACTTGTTAGATGGACCAGAGGGCAGACACAGACTCAGCTTTGCAGAGTATCATCTCTCCATACGACACTAGGTTTGCGATCTACGCTTAAATCTGACAATCACAAAAGTCTCTCTAACCTTCCCCAAGAGTTGACCAGAGGGGAAGAACTTTAATCATGACTTCCATGTTGACACTTTTCAGATGATGGCCAAAGTGTGCTACACATCTTCAGATTACTGACTGAAACATAAGCTGAGAAAGACTTCAGACCACTGCTTGTATTGTTCTGACTGCTCTCTGTTGGCTGATAACTCCTGTGGATAAGAACAATGGTCTTATATTTGCACTTCTGACGCCCAAACTCTTCAGCTACTGAGACTATTTTTAAACAATGAGTGTGACGTGTGAAATATTTGCAGCAGTTTTGCAAAAGTTTTGTCTTTCACTTAAATTATATTTTTCTGTGGTCCATAGATTTTCCTGCAAACCAGTATCAGTTGTTTTTGTATTTCAGTTGTATTTTTCAGTTTTTTAAAAAGTCAACAATTTGTTATGATGAATTAATTAAAGATGTGCCAAAGAGGATTTAATAAATTTTATACCAAAAACGTGTTACAGTACAATTATTGCAGGTGCTATGAAAGGGTAACCAGCTCTGAATCCTGCAGCATATGATGAAATAAAATACAATTCAACCTATGCCTCATAGTATACAACCATTAAGCAGATCAGATTTTTATATTTAAACTGCATGCTGTTAGTGATGCAATTTAAGGCAAAAAAAAAAAAGAAATTGATTTGCTATATTTAATTAATATGCCCAAAAAAAATGGGATGGTGCATTTTTTTATGTAAAGTACCAACACTGCCCACTAAAGCTTCAAGTGGAATTGTGAAGTATTATTTAATCAGAGATTGTCTCACAGTCCGTTGAAGAAGCCGACTTCCAAAATGCAGGGAAGTAGATAAAAATAAAGCAAAATGTGTTGTTCCTTTTTCATAAATCTGGATTTAATCGGCTAGAATAATGTGAGCTGATCTGGCACGCCAAAATAAGAAAAGGGAATGTGTGGGGTACGTGCATCTGAGCTGCCTGGGGAGGAAAAACCTAGGGAGGTCCATTTCCTGGCATATCAGGGAGTCAGGTAACAAACACAAGGACACATGGGGGGGTGGTTCTAAGATAAACAGAGAACAATGGAGGTAGAAAGAAGGGTTTATATTAACATCTCTGAGTTCTCCATAAATGCTGCACATACACTATATTGCCAAAAGTATTTGCTCACCCATCCAAATTATTGGAATCAGGTGTTCCAATCACTTCCATGGCCACAGGTGTATAAATTCAAGCACCTAGGCATGCAGACTGTTTTTACAAACATTTGTGAAAGAATGGGTCGCTCTCAGGAGCTCAGTGAATTCCAGCGTGGAACTGTGATAGGATGCCACCTGTGCAACAAATCCAGTCGTGAAATTTCCTCGCTCCTAAATATTCCACAGTCAACTGTCAGCTGTATTATAAGAAAATGGAAGTGTTTGGGAACGACAGCAACTCAGCCACGAAGTGGTAGGCCACGTAAACTGACGGAGCGGGGTCAGCGGATGCTGACGCGCATAGTGCGAAGAGGTCGCCAACTTTCTGCAGAGTCAATCACTACAGACCTCCAAACTTCATGTGGCCTTCAGATTAGCTCAAGAACAGTGCGCAGAGAGCTTCATGGAATGGGTTTCCATGGTCGAGCAGCTGCATCCAAGCCATACATCACCAAGTGCAATGCAAAGCGTCGGATGCGGTGGTGTAAAGCACGCCGCCACTGGACTCTAGAGCAGTGGAGACGCGTTCTCTGGAGTGACGAATCGCGCTTCTCCATCTGGCAATCTGATGGACGGGTCTGGGTTTGGCGGTTGCCAGGAGAACGGTACTTGTCTGACTGCATTGTGCCAAGTGTAAAGTTTGTTGGAGGGGGGATTATGGTGTGGGGTTGTTTTTCAGGAGCTGGGCTTGGCCCCTTAGTTCCAGTGAAAGGAACTCTGAATGCTTCAGCATCCCAAGACATTTTGGACAATTCCATGCTCCCAACTTTGTGGGAACAGTTTGGAGCTGGCCCCTTCCTCTTCCAACATGACTGTGCACCAGTGCACAAAGCAAGGTCCATAAAGACATGGATGACAGAGTCTGGTGTGGATGAACTTGACTGGCCTGCACAGAGTCCTGACCTCAACCCGATAGAACACCTTTGGGATGAATTAGAGCGGAGACTGAGAGCCAGGCCTTCTCGTCCAACATCAGTGTGCAACCTCACAAATGCGCTTCTGGAAGAATGGTCAAAAATTCCCATAAACACACTCCTAAACCTTGTGGACAGCCTTCCCAGAAGAGTTGAAGCTGTTCTAGCTGCAAAGGGTGGACCGACGTCATATTGAACCCTATGGATTAGGAACGGGATGTCACTTAAGCTCATATGTGAGTCAAGGCAGGTGAGCAAATACTTTTGGCAATATAGTGTATCTTCTCATTCAGGAAAAAATGGCCATAGAAATATCTGCATCTGAACCAAATCCACCTGGAAAACTCCACAAACATTCCAGTCATAGTCTGCGTCAAAGCAAATGCGTCAAAGCAAATGAAGACAAAAAGAGCACCAGGATAGATACGGACAGATAAAATGTTAAATACTAAAGCGTCTTTGACATTGAAGGGATTAGTGTGGTTTACTCTAAAGCATTCCTGGGCCTCTTAAGATTATCAACTCGCTTCCTTCCTCTACAGTTCTTTTTCACTATTTGCACAATCCTTTGGTGAGTTTCTTAGAAAGGAGGAGAGCAGTGGAGCTCACTACAGTAGTCTATCAGAGCCAGATGGAACAGAGCCATGACCAGAAACCAAGATGGACGTGACAGCTGAGGTTCATCATTGTGGTTTAATTGAAATCATTTCATCCCACCAGCTGCCATTTAAGAGCAAAGCTGATCTGGGACTGTTGTCATCCTGAAGGCTTACAGCCGTCTGAGTGACCCGTCTGTGAAGTCTGAGCGCTCTCACCCACATAGCCGTCCTTTCCGACCAACTTCAAAGCCAGCTTGTCTGCCAGCACCGAGGAGTTGCCATGGGCGATGTTGGCGAAGGGCCCGGCGTGGACAAACACTGGCGTACCCTGCAACAATTAGAAGGGGCACACAAACACACAGCAGTTTAGAAAACAGTGGAACCCAAGCAACTCTTTCAATACCAACAAACAGCTTCTTTCTTAGTAAAAAACTACTTTCAGCCACACTTCAAGATAAATATTGAAGACTAAAAACACTTTGGCTGAGTGAGTGTTTGTCTAAACGTCAGAGACGAGTTAAGAGGTGCTTGACAGGCATGTCAACCCAAGTCTGGGTAGATTACAGCCCAAAGGTTGGAAACAAACAAGCTGAAGGAGCGCCTGAAGAGCCAGCTAAAACGCTTCAACCTTTTGCACAACAAACGAAACCCAGCAACCGAACTTAAAATATGCTTCTTTTTACTTTTCTTACTATGAAAGAAAATCAAGTACATTAAAACAGCCAGCATTTGTCATACCCCTTCTATGGTTTCAAAAACCATTTAAAGAGATGCCAAAATAAAAGTACAGAAGTTAATTCCCTAGGGTAATGCAACGCAGACTTTTCGCTTCATGTTGCTTCATACTGCCAGTCAGCTGGCTGAAAGAAAGGTGGCTCTTTTGAAATATAATAAATGCCCATAAAGATAGATTAAACCTTGTTTACATCAAGGGAAGATTCATTGTTGACTGATATGTTCTAACAATCATATGAATTCAAATTAAATTTTAAATAAAATCACCATTAAAAGGAGAAATCAAAAACTTTTGTTTAATTGCTTGAGCTTTATGAGCAGCACATCATTAACAAACCAAATTAAAAAGCAATAAAATCAGGTTGGAATTAAAGCAGTTATTTATGTTTCCCTTGCATTTATATAAAAATAAAACAACTGTTAGATTTCTAAGGTTTTGATACTCTAAAAATGAGGCAAATACCTGTGTCTAGTAGGCAAAGATTTCCAATAAAACAAACAAACAAAAACAAAAAAACTTCAAGGTGCATCAAGTTTATATCTAGGCATTCTGATTACTTATATTGGACCTTTTATGACCAAAATGTAGCATAAATCCAAGTGTTACAGCTCTCTGAAAGAACATTTGTTCTATATTATTATGTTAAAAGAAAAGATAAAAACTTTCAAAGACAACAGATTGGAGAAACGTTTAACATACTCCTTTACACAATGCTAAAGTAAAACTAATTCTCAAAAACATCAGAAACTCTCAAGGATCCTCCAGGTTACAGCTACTTTTCCCAGCCAAATGTATCACTGAAAACAATTGCTATTCTTAAAGAGCAAAATTTAAATACAATCATGTTGGTCCTTAAAAAGACGACAGCTCAGTGGCTAAAAAAAAAAAAAAACTGAGATCCAGCTGACCTATTGTTGCCCCGAATGTGGATTCCTCAAAGAGCGGAAAAAGGGAAGGATGGGACGACCTAATATGATTTTCTAAGGCTTTGTTTGAATACCTCTCCGCTGCCTGCATAAACAGTCCTCCCGCCGAGGAGTAAATCATCTGTAAAACAAGGCCCTGGGAAAAGCTGCCAATTGTATTTAGTGTGGCTGAGTACGTTGCTTGAATCAGATCAGCATTTAACCCACGAAGGGGAAAAAGGAGGTGCACAATTAGGATGCATAGAAACCCTTTTTTTTCATGGATATAAAACATTATTCTCATTAATTCATTTAACAGCATGTTTTTACTGCAACTTCAAACCCGTCAACCGGAAAAATCTTTCCATGTGCGTCTGTGACCCCTGAACTTTCACTCTTTGTACCTTGTTCAGGAGATGCATCAGCAGCAGTAGAGTGAGGAAAGCCCAGAATATCATATTCCCAACAACTGGTATTGAAGGTCAGGAAGGATGATGAACATAACAGGAACATGGAAATCATGTCAATATTTCCACATTTGTAACTGGTGATAATCCCCAGCTGCAAAAATATACACAACTATTGTAAAAATGTAAGTGTATGATGAGGGAGGTCTAATTTATATCCATCAGGAAAGATGCATGGAGTTGTTTTCTAAAACCGTATGGAGAGAGGATGTGCACAAAAATTCAGCAACGCCTCGTCGCATTAGAAAAATCATAGACAAGCACACTGCAACCACAGAGCAAGGCTTTTAGACCCAGCTCTATTCTCATGACTGAATCCATGTTGACCGCCAGCACAAGTCAAGAGGGGGAAAAGGGGAATAGGTGATCGAGCTCCATGGAAAGTTCTCCTGTAGCTCTAAGGTCCGGTTGGTCCCGATACCAACTCCCGGAGCGGAATCACAGGAAACCCACAAAGGAAAAGGTTTCACACAGCCGGACCGCAACACTTCCTCCAGAAAACAAAAACCCAAAGAGTTACTAAATCTTTGCTGTATTCACTCGCACCCACCCCCCCAATAAGCTGTGTTTATTTTCCCCACTGGGTCGATGTAATCAAGCTTCTTGTTCAACATGGAACAAACAAACAAAAACTTCAGCTTACGACAATGAAGGCAAACAAAATGCTTACTGTTAACATTGTGTTCTCTGCATATCTGGGCATTAAAATCATTCCAAGAAAAAAAAAAAAAGAAACAATGTGCAACATCTTCTGAACCTAAAAGCAGGAATCTGAAGCTCCATCTCCCTACAAAACAATAAAGCATTTATGTCGATTTCTGTGAGCGGGTTGATTCGAGTTGCAATGTTTCAAAACTGAGATTTTTTTTGGACTTTGACCTCGTTACATATTCTGAACATCAAGTATCGTCTGAATTTGAGTTCAATTCCAGTTCTTTTAGGAGAAAGTGTTTAAAACTTACCATGCTTTAAAGAAGCAAGCTAATTAGCTAGCCAACCAGAGCTTTGCCTGAATAAAAAAAAAATAATCAGAACCAAAACAAATTTTTATTCTATGCATTCTTAAGTTTACTATAAATTAAAACCATTCTTTTTCAACCAGAATATAAATATCAAACCAATAAACTCTAATCTAAATATTGATTTTCATTTCACCAGGTTAAAAAGGAGCTTTATTTTTGGAAACCTCATTAAAAAACATTACCAGTGCCTGATGCTGCAGAGAATTATACCGTAAAAGTTTAAGTAATCCAATGATTATTTCACTGACCTGATTTTTTGAAGAAGTGATGTGGATCTTATATTAAAGTAAACAATAACATGGCCCTCTGCTATTCAGTAAGCAGGTTTCATTATATGAAATAAATCAAGAATTATATTTAAATTCTGCTTGAAAATGTTCCCAAGTGTGAGAGAACTGGCCTAAATTCATTCATTCTGATTGAAAAAGCAGGTAGGAGGTCATGCAAGAATCTAATAAAACTAGGCCTGCAACTATTGATCATTTTTCTAATCGATTAATCTGTCGATAATTTTTTCTATTAATAATCTGATAGTGTAAGGTTCTTTATAGGGGTGTAAATCGATTCAGTATCGATTTCCTGACCGCACGATTCGATTATTTTCAATACTCAAGAATACACCACGCTGCGATTCGATTAATTGGTTAATTTTTTATTTTTTTTTATTTTTTAACACCTTACAGGCTAAACAAAGTTTAAAGTTTGAAATAAATCAATGAAAGCTGTAATATCATTATGCATTTTTTTTTTTTTTTTTTTAGAAACAACAGCAAATAACAGAAGTAGAAAAGTTGTATCAAAAAATACTGCACAAAATCACTGCAATGCAATACCTCGGCAACTGGATAAAAATAGACCGGAGGGGGAAAAAAAAAAAAAAAAAAAACATAAATTGATTCTCTGGCGGACGTGTCGATGCATCGGCTCGTCGGCTGTTGGATCGATGCATCGATACAAAACGATTATTATTTACACCCCTAGTTCCTTAAACAAGGTTTTTTTTTTAAGAATTAAACCAACTGAACTACAGCTTTTCCACTTGATGAGTTCTGGATAGAGCATATTGACTGTTTTCATCATCTTAAATGCCAAAAACTGTACATATTTCTTTTACAATTTTGGCATAATTGCTGCTCAAGGTGGGTCGCTATGTCAGCTAAAGGCATGTTTTAGAGTCTCTATACTGCAGTTAACGAGTAATTAATTACTAAATTAGTTGAAGATTTTTCAGTAATCGACTAACCTGATTAATTGTTTCAGCCCTACAGTAGTTAAAACACAATCTAAACAGAAGAAATTATAAGAAAACGCTCATCTCTTCCTGCGACATTCTGCTTCTAATGGAGGAACAGCTTTCCCTCAGGGTTCCCTACTTTAGCACAAAACCAGCACAGCATGTTTGAGATTGGGCACAGAGGGTTTAATAATATTGGTCCTTTCCCCTCTTCAAATATAAAAATCTAATTATAATCCTATTGCAAGTGTAGCATTGAGCCCAATAATGCTTTGTTTAAGTTAAGCTAAATTAAGCTTAATAATGCTGCCACACACGGACACACAAAGGTGCAAACACATTTTTGATGGTATTGGTATTCAGCTTCTTACTCTAGGGGTGGACATCATCGAAGCATAAAAAAATTAAATGTGTTGAAGTAGAATTGGAATGTTGGTCCTGGTTTTAAAGCAAATCCTAGTGCACAACCCTACAGATAGATAGCAACATGGGGGTAAAAATAAATGATCATTTAAAATCCATTTCTTGCTGTTAAGTATTGCTGCACTCCTCAATGTTAAAGTGAGAGAGCCATCACTGAAAAAGCTGTGTTTAGCAGCTCTGAGGTCTGGTGAAGAAAATGTTTAGATCGTGGCGGAGATTCAAAACAGCTGCCACCTTCCCTGGGCCTGGTCAGTTCACCGTGAGAGCAGACTGTATGATAATAAAAGAAAACCCTAGGGTTTTGCAACGGAACCCACGGAAACGTTGATAGAAAGTGGAAGCCTTGACATTAGAAAAGATGCCACACAGGTTGACCTTTCATGCCAGGTGTGCTTTGTGAAAACATAAAGGCCAGCACAAAGGACATGTTTGGCATTCCAGGAAACTCAGACCAGCTGTGAAGCACAGAGCTAGATTTATAACGGCAGCAAGACCTGGACGGCTCTTCACCACAGAAGGCCAGGCGAATTCAGCATTTACCCAAGGAAAATGTGAGACCGTCTATGAAAAATAATGCCAAAGAGGAACTGATCAAGAAAGAGCACAATTACTCTAAACATACCAGTAAATCAACCTAGCACTGAATGAGCATCAAGAGAGGGGAAAGTCCTGAGTCAAAGGTCAGATCCTAATCTTAACGAGTTGCTGAGGGGTGACTTCAAACAGAAAACCCCACTAACATCTCATAGCTGGACGTGAGGAGTGGGACAACTTCCCTCAGACGGATGTCAGAAACCACTATATGGCTGCAAGACCCGTCTCACCCAAGCTTCTTCAGCTGAAGAAGCCGACAGCAGCTGTTAGCGTGAAGGGCTTCCTTCTTCTAGAGAACAGATTGTTCTTTGGTTTAATCAGTAAAACTATGTTATATTTTTGTTTACGTCAATTTATTTTAGAATTAAGCCATTATTTCATAGTTTTTTTTAAGGATAGTCGTGTTTTTTTACACGACTGTCTCTTTCTACTAATAGAATCAGTGACAAACTGGTTATTTTAATGATTTAAAGAATGAGCCCCATTTACATTACCCCTCTGAAACCGAGTTCGGACCGAGTTTGGATCAGTTAACTGTGTCGAGCTCGGTTACGTGCCACCGTTTACACATCACATAAGCACGGTTCCTCTCCTCCTAGTGACGATCTACGGTACTACTGCTCTCTAGAGGGAATCGAGCAAATCAACATGACAGTGCCTGAACATTCAGGAGGTTTGGTCAAAATTGTGATATTTGAATGTTGTTGGAAAGTTAGGCAAAGAAGTGGATACGACAAAGTCTAATCAGGCTTTACAGTAGCAGGAAAAAATGACAGACATTGAGGTTTATCCCACTGCTAAGCAGAATCATCACTGGAAATAGTGTGGCATGGTAGGGAAGCTTGTATTTTATGAATGCCTGAAATTTCATGATTACAGAGGCTGACTGTAAGGAGATGATGTTGTCTCCTCATGCGCTCGTTATCTGAGAACTGAGCCAGAACTGAACCGTGCCGAGCCCTTCTGATGAACTAGTACCATGTTAGCGCGGTTCGGGTGTGTCTAGCACGGTCCAGTTCAGTTTTGCATGCGATATACACTCCACAGTTATCTCGGACCTTGGCACGGTTTAAAAAGGGTAGTGTAAATGTGGATAAAGAGTTCACAGGGTTCCTACAGGATAAGGAAAGTTCAATTCAAGACTTAAGACTTTTTAATGCCACTTAAAATAAAAATTTAAGACCAACTTTAAAATAAACAAGAAAAACCTGGTAGCGACAAATTTACCCCAAATGTTTATTTTAACATAAACCATTACTTTCTGGCCAAGTAGACGTTTCAAATTTTGAAAAACTTTCCATATAGGAAGAAAGCTAAAAACACACAAATAACAGATATATTTGTAACTAGTGTTGCGCCGATGCCTTTTTTTGGCCCCGATACCTGGCTGTGCAGTATTGGCCGATATCGATACCATCTGCTTGAAATTGATGTGTGTGCGTATATATGAAGAACTGCATACTACTTGGATGTAAAATAATTACCATCATGGCTTTGTCATGCTGCTGCCTACCTTTATGAAGCAGAAAAAAGACTAATAGTGAATCCAGTAGAACTTTTTAACCTGGAATGGGTAGCAATACTTGAATAAACTTTTGGCTCTCAAAATGGTATCGGTGCCCTATTTGTTGGTACTCACTAATACCGATACTACCATTTTAGTGCTGGATCGGGGCTCTGAATTCACTAACTTTTTGTGTTCCCGTCAGAATCCCTCTACTTTCATAGTTGGCGTACCGCCAAACATTATCTGGAGATTTGGTTCTACTGGCACCGTTTATGATGTCAGAGATGCTGTGGAGTTGCGTTGCAGAATGGAGTAATACCTGCTGCTTCTCCATAACTTCATTTTGATGCTTTGAGTTTCACGCTTCGCACATGTGACTCCACTGCCTTGATTCCCATCGTGCTTCATCTATATTCCCTGGCAGTGGTTTTAACCATGCAGTAGTGATGGTTCCATTAACACCAATGAGTCGGTGCATGGAGCCCAGAGAACAGTGTTGTTTCCAGAAAGTCATGTGACCGTTACAGGAGTTGTTTCTAACTGACTGACTCAATAAACTGTGTTTAAAAACGTATCTGTCAACATGATGCATCTGTTAAAACAATGTCTCATCTTTTGCGGTTTATCATTAAAATGATCAAGAATTTTGGAGCAGCCTAAAAGGAATAGGAACGTTTCAGCCGTTGCGTTATTATTTTTTATTTTCTCGCCGTGTCATCCTTGTCCTCTCAGTTATCACTCAACTTATCTGAATTAAAGTCAATTTCAAATTGACTTACTTTATTTACTGTTTTTACTGTACTTCTTGTTTTAAAATTATGATTTAAAATCCTAGTCTACAAGCATTTACATTATATCATGGCTGCATCTAAAAATATCAAGGATATTTTCAATTTAAAGAGATATGTTTTAATACAATATAACCTAGAGTATCTTAAATGATATCATTGTAGTAGGTCATCAAATTAATTCAGTTTCGTCTGTCCAATAAGCTGCTTGTAGTGTCTTTAGAGGTCCAGCAGATCTCAGTATTCTGTGAGTTAGTATCAACGAAGCATCAATAGTTTGGCAATGTGTGAAACGCTTCAAGGTGTCTCATTAACCCATCAATATCATGCAGGACAGTCTTTGATGGATAGCCTATTTTTTACTTAATTTAAACTTCATCATGTTGTCCAGATAAAAATGTAGTGGCACATCACTCCAAGGTGTGGCAACAACATTGTTTTTATTGGTTCCGCTATCGGGATGGAACCAGTAATGGTTACAGCGAGCGGTTCGGTAAATGCAAGAAAAATATTGTCAATTATTTTAATATTTGATATGAATTACAAAATAAAATCCTATTTATGATGTGGTAACAATTTTAAGACCTATGAAAGACTGACCTAAGACATTTTAATACCAATCAAGGCCTTGATTTTATATTGAAGAATTCAATGCGTTTTAGGACTTTGTAAGGATCTGCAGGAACCCTGGTTCAGCTGCCAACAGGTTTTAGATTTTAAAATTAAATAAATGCAAAATTTTTTGCATGATCCAACAGATATTATTAAATCATCGTCTTTAGAAATGAGCTGCAAATCTTTTAGGCTGGAAGGGTTTTTACCATCACCCTAACCTTCTGCTCCCTTCATGGATTCCATTAAGGAACGGTAAAGAGCATTTCTTCCAGTCTGAATAAACTGGTTTGTCGCACAGAATCTTGCTTTAAACCTGAAACTTTACTTAAAAATAAATCTCACCTCAAGGGTCTGCATCAATGTAGGTTTTATGGCATCTTTCATTAGCACGGCCAGCGCACCACTTACACCCTGTTGGACAAGAAGAAAGAAAAACTAAAGATTTAATAGTCTTAAAAAGTTTCTCATATTTAACTAAGACAAAAAAACAAAAATCCAGCACTACGAGCTATTGTGGATTTGTTCGGCTCTTAATCTCTACATGGTTTCCTGTGCTTCAGCTCTTAAACAGTGCAGTCATTTATGGGAAAGTAAAGAGGCAGGAAGACTCTGCTTAACACCCAATTCTTTAGACACAAATGATCTCATGTTGTTTTGAATTAACACGGGGTGGAGAGGGGTAGGCATTATTGCATCTAGCCTAAAAAAGAAAACAGCTTTCTTATTATATTTAACATATCATCTGGTAGATAACTGCAAAAGAAATAGTCTGCTGTACAAGCTGCAACAAGACCTGACATGATGCTAAAACCACAATGATCAATATTACTCATCTCCACCTATCTACAAATTTACTGATGGGGTCTCCAGTGATCTCAGAGTAAAACCCACCAGGTCCTCTGCTGTGACAGGTTCTCCAGAGCTACTGGTTCCCACCACCATGCGGGCCAGTCTGTCCTTCATGTCCTTCAGGCTGTCAGCGAGGGCCAGGATAGCCATGATCTCACTGGCTACTGCAATGTCAAAACCAGTCTGAAAAATGGAAGAAAATATGAGAGTATTGTGAAATTTTTGGAAAGGTATCAGAACATATCCTAATCTATTTAGCAATACTGTTAAAAAGTCGTTTAGATTAAGGCAACATATTTACACTATTACAGCAAGACAGATTTCAGGATGTTTACTTTCAGGTCACCTGATTTCTCACATGGGCAATGAAATATTGCCCATGAATGCAGCCCTGTTGGGAATGATGATTTGATGGCGAGAAAGTAATCACAGACACGTTTAACTCATTTTGATTTGTGGAAATTTATGAGAAACTAAAAGGACTCTGAGAAGGTTATAAGTGAATTAGTGGCTAAGAAGGGAAGCAGCGGATGTATCCACTCCCAACAGAGAGAGAGGTAAACATGACTTAAAACACATTAATATATCAAGGAACTGTGGATTTTTACTCCCTCTCCCAATCATAACCCTGTAATGCCAAATGTATCATATTTGATACATACGGTTTCTGAAATGTTTTGCGTCTGACACCTTTTGCATAATTTAATGGTAAAAACTTTACTCAAAATCCTATTGTACACAATCAGATATACCTGATAACAGAGGGCAGAAGACTACACAAAAAATAATCTTGACTTATCGCATAGTAATAAATTATTAATATCAAAAATGTATTTCTGTTTTTCCTTTTTACATATTTTGTTAAAAGGCCAAATAAGGGCTTCAAACCAAAAAAAAGTAATTTTCTGTTTTGTGTTATTCTTGGATCGGGCTTTAAAGGGTTAAGGGGACAAGGGGGAACACAGGAAGGTGGAAGGGGGTTATTTCACGTGCGTTTGTAAGAGTCTAGCTGGGGGGGGGGGGTCGTTCATTTTCTTTCTTTCTTCATTTTCTTTACCTCTCTGATCTGTCCTTTTTCAGTGGTCGCCTGACCCACTGTGATTTTTCTCAGGAAGCGGTCATTTGTATCAACAACTGAAAAGCAAAAAAACAGAAAAAAAAACATTAACTCACAACAGCTAAATATGATAGGAGTCCATTCATAAACTAGAGTTGATATAAGTTTATATGATCCTATAACTTTTTTATTTGTAATATTTGACATAGAGCAGCCTAAAGTTATTTGTTCCACATTATATATTTGCATATTTATTTACGTCAACCGTGCGTTTGCTTGTATGCGTGTAGCACCTTAACACCAACATAAATCCCTTGTATAGATAAAACAACTTGGAAATAAAGTTTTTTCTGATTCTAAAGGCTTATGTGACTGTTTGGATTAGAGAGGAACCAGCAGACTGTCCAGGGTTCCTCGTTTTTCCATGTTCTCTTTCTGTGATCACAGATTTGGATTTTGTCCAATTTATTAATGAAGCAAAACTTAAGAACTAGAAATGTTTACAATCTATAAAACTTATCAACCAGCAGCTTTTTAATCTCTGTTTATAGTTACATTTGTATTGAATATTATTACATATGTCATGGATAAATTTATTATTCTTGTGACAATATTCTTGACATAAGCAAAAAAATTTAATAAAGTTAAAATAAAAGATCCTCCGACACATCTCCTTCATTTCCGTAGAATCTCCTTAAAGATTTTGTGCTTCACCACTGAGCTATTTGGTTTTCTACCTCTGAGGGGGAAAAAAGGACATGCTTGACTCTGACCTTTATACCCAACGTCTTTTTCATAAACTCCAGGACCTAATTCTTCAAAGTGCCCTCTGCAGCCTCTGGGATTAATACCCCATCAGTCATAGCTGTATCCAGCTGGTTGGTGTCATTGAAAAATGTAAACAAACATTGCTGCATGTGGAGTAGCTCCCCAACAACAATCCCAAGCTCACACTGGTAGAGATGAATGACTCATTTCACTTGTAGCATCCTTTCAACTTCAAAAAGCTCCAGAATGCATTACATAAAGGACCCAATTTAAATATTTGAAGAGATGAGACGAGAAGAGACGCTGACTTAAAGAAGCCTTGATGTTGATGCAATTTAGTTGCCGATCTTTTTGTTGCTTCAGAACAACCCTCAGGTCAAGTCAGGCTGCCTTTAATCTGCTGTCTGTCTCTCTGAAGCCACGCCAAGCGATCTCAACCTGTAGCTGCTCTGTGAGTCGTTTCAGTTCCTGCTTTACAGCATTTAGAGTTTTATGTAATAAGTTCTTTAGCTGCCTCGTGTCTCCTTATCCAGATAAAGCAATCGCTGTAGAACAATAACAAACCATTCTAAATTAGCTGGTTCCAACAAAACTGTGGTTAAAGAAAAATATCGATAAAAACAGGAACCATTGTTCAGGATTAAACACACAGAAGCTATAGACCATTTGACAAGAGGGTTTGTTTCAACCAGTTACAGTGAGTAAGAGAAGTTTTTAGAGATTACCTCTGTGCCAGGTGATCTTCGAAGGATCGAGATCAAGGCGTACGAAGCTGCTCACTTCATGGGGTGTAAGGGAGGCAGGATCTGTTTTATGGATGCCGAGACGCTGCAATGGAAAGAATACAACCAAAAAATGATGCAGGTAGTAGATTACTCTTTATGCATTTTTAAAAACAGCACCTGGTAAATGGGATGTTGGTATTCATCCTTAAAGAACAAACACAGGTATCCAATTTTCTTTAATAAATATTTACTTGCAAAGTGAAAAAAAAGCCTAAAGTCAAAAACAAAACAAAAAACAAGGTTATAAAATCATGATGATTTTATATCATTTATATCATCAGACTTTATCATTTATATTCTTAAGAGCTTTTTAGCACAGCAAAGTTTAGACTTACCTGAAGTCTAGAGATCTGGATTGGAGAGAATTTTCTAACTCCATTTACTGAAGGGACCAGTCTGTTGAACAGGGCCTACATGAGACACAGAAAAATACTTAGTGAGTTATACTAACACATTCTGAACTACTTTAGGTTACAGATTACCTTTTAATTTCCTAAATAAACAATCCTTAGAGTAAATGACAGAAAACAATCACCTTGTCAGATTGCGTTGCCTCGTGAAGCATCCTGGCGTCGATTGCTGCTGCCACCAGGTTATTGGCTGCTGTGATGGCATGGATGTCGCCCGTCAGATGGAGGTTGAACTGAAGACAATCACAATAAAAACTTTAGGAAAAGAGAACAGACATTTGCTGACCAAAAGTACATATGAATTGAAACAACTTTGCATGGTTTGACAAATGTAGGATTAAAGTAGAATAATGACATTTTAATCAGGCCTGGACTGTATTGCAAAGTTTAAGCATGCTATCTGGTTAGAATATGAATTGATTTGAATCTTATCATCTGATCTCCGGTCAGAACTAGTACAATTTGGCCTTTTTTATTCTCTAAAGAGATTTTTTTTTCCTATAAAGAGAGTTAAAGTAATACGAGAGACTTAAAAAAGGGTAAAAATAAAAAAGGTATTCCAGGAATAAATGTTTGGGGATTTTTTTTTTAGAGTCCTTCTAGAATCCTTCCGCGTGTCGGATTTACCTCCTCCATAGGGATGACCTGTGCATAACCCCCTCCTGCAGCACCTCCTGGACACAAAGCAGAGGTAAAAAAAAAATTACAGGAAGACAAGGATGGAAATTAGATATCTGGTGAGTCTTAAACTCTAAATGAACAACATCACCCAAGAAATATGTAGCCTAACAACAAAAAAAAAATAGACAGATTCAACTAGAATTCAATTCAGATTAAGATTAGATTACTGGTTTTCCATCTTTAATCCACCACCTACTCAAAGACACCATGATTTATTAATGAGCATTATTCCAAATACCCATTGTTTTTAGAAATGGCTATTTATGTATTAACAATAATAAATGTTTACCCTCATGATTTTACATAAAGAAATTGAGAGAAACCAACAGAATAATAGAGAAACCCTTTTCTAACCTTTAACTCCAAAGGTAGGTCCCTGAGAAGGTTGCCGAAGGCAAGCAAAGGAGTTAAGCTTGAGGTGGGCAGTCAAAGCCTGGACCAGGCCTATGGTCACGGTGCTTTTACCCTCACCGAGGGGAGTTGGTGTTATACTAGATGAACAATCAACAGAACATTTTAGGGATCTTAAAATCTACTTGTTTTTACTTTTAGTTTGTCATTATTACGCTGTATGAACATTAAATTCAGCTGATATAAGCATGCTAAAGCACAGCCAGAAACATGACACTCACCCAGCAACCAGCACATATTTGCCATCAGGCTGGGAGTTGAGACGGTCTAAGAGGGAGAGTCGGACCTTCGCTTTGTTCCTGCCGTAAGCTTCAAGCTCCTCTGGCAGCAGACCGATCTCCTCTGCCAGCTGATCTACAGGCTTAGGTTTCTGAGCTCTTGAGATCTCAATGTCACTGAAACAACAGGTGAAGCTTTATTATTTTAGAAAGCTGCGAAAAACATGACCAATTCATTTTAAAAGAACCACTAATGTTCAAGAAAAGGAGCAAAAAAGTTTTCAAACTAATTGCCATACGTTGGAACAGGGTTTAAAGGCTGTAGTTTGAGGCTGTGCAGACGCCAGGGTCTGTACTGCTGCTCCTGAAGCCATCGCCTGCAGCTCTGAACCACATTCTGTTAGAGAAGAAGTCAAAAGGGTAAAATGGATATTAACATGCTTAAAAATATTAGATTAGTCTCTGAAGCACAATAAGAATGATAGCAAATAGAAGTTAAAGACAACCTTGAAAACAGAACCAGACCTGTGCTCTGTAGGCAGCTGTGAGGTATCCTAAAGCAGAGCTTGAAGACAAGTCAATGTCATCACCTGAATAAAAAAGAAAATTTAATAAAAAGATTTTTAATTTTGCACATGCCAAGTATTAATAAAATTGCCCTATTATAAATATTTCTGAAGAAATGTTTCAAACTGAGTAATGTCAATGTGCTAAAAACAGCATCCCCCTCCTATGAACTGAACTAGACTTTGTTGTGGACTTTGATTTTAAATTCAATAAACAAATGAGGTACATTCTGCAAAAAAAAGCATTTTTTTCAGGTAAGGGAGACTGTTTAAGTTAATTATGTTAGGTCAGAAACAGACTGAGAAAATCATTGATGCATTAATCACTTCACACCACGTCTACTGTAATGCAGTTCAACCTGGACTTCCTGCCTACATCAACTATAGTCATTTACCTGGAACATGCAGATAAGAACAAACAGACTCCTTATTTTGTACAGCGTGCTGGTTAATTTCAGGTTATGTCAAATGTGCTCTATAAATCAGCTGATCTTTCACTATGTTTAATAAAAAAGTATAAAAAATAAAAAAGTGTAATCTTAAAAGCTCATGTTTCAGTTAAGCCCAGAGGCAGGCATGCAGAACATTAGCAGCTATACCTGGTTCCAGGGCTGACTCGCAGTGAATGATGACTGCCTCTGGTCGAACCCAGGAGGGCGGGATGTCCACGCTTCCTGCACTTAATGTAACCACAGCATCGGCCTGCATTACCTAATAAAAATGGAAAGAAAAAAATATATAATTAAGAAGTGTTTTTTTTTGTCCTAGAAAGCAGGTAAAAAAAAATACATTTCCTAGAACAATAAACAGACATTGATATAAATTAAAAAGCTGTATCACTTGTATAGGATCACAGGTTATCAAGCCAGTGGTGGCCCCTTGTGGTCACTTAGTAGAATGTCACATATACTATAAATAGTCGGCTAAAGAATATCAGAATGTGATGATAAAAAAACAAAAACATTTAAATAATAAATTTAAACCAAAACAAACCTGGGTTTTCAAGCTCTTTGAGTTCCAATCAGCTGTTTGAGCATTCATCCCACTTCTTTCAATCAGGCACTGCATGGCCAGCCTGAGCGAGCCCTGTCCTCCGACCAGCAACACAGACTTCCCTTTCAAAGGAGCATCTGCAAAAATATTCAAAACCTGCTCAGTTGATGACTTTATACACAATGCTTCATTCTTTCCTTGTTTTTTCAACAAATCTTAACTTTAAAAAAAGATTCCATTTTAATTAACTGTCGGAAAACGAGAATACAGATTTTTCTTCTAAGCTAGTCAAAATGTAATTATTGAAGCCTTGAGTTATTCATCATCTTTACACAAACATAAATTTTGGTGATTTGGTGATTATGAACCAATTCAAGCACTGAGGAAATGTTTAGAAGAAATCAATGCATTGATGTGCCATCATTTTCTTCAAATGAATAAAAACAAAACTGAAGTAATAATCTTTGGACCAATAGAGGAGAGATCTAAAGTTAGCACACAGCTTCAGTCGCTTCAGCTAGTAACCACTGATCAGGCCCGAAATCTAGGTGTAGGGCTGGATTCAGACTTGAACCTCCAAAAGCATTTAAAGACAATTACAAGGTCGGCTTTCTATCACCTGTAGAACATTTCCAGGATTAAAGGACTAATGTCTCAGCATGATCTGGAAAAACTAATCCATGCGTTTATTTTTAGTCGAATTGATTACTGCAACTGTGTTTTCACAGGTCTGCCTAAAAAGTGGATCAGACAGCTGCAGCTGATCCAGAACGCTGCTGCCCGTGTCCTCACTAAGATTAAGAAAGTAGAGCACATCACCCCAGTTCTAAAGTCCTTACACTGGCTCCCTGTATCTCAGAGAATAGACTTTAAAATACTTCTGTTTGTCTATAAATCTCTGAATGACTTAGCACCTAAATACATCACAGACTTGCTATCAGTGTATCAACCCCTCAGACCACTCAGGTCTTCTGGCTCCAGCCTGCTCTGCATACCTAGAACCAGAACTAAACATGGAGAAGCAGCATTTAGTTCCTATGCTCCACTTATCTGGAACAAACTTCCAGAAAACTGTAAAAGTGCGGAAAGTCTGAGTTCCTTTAAATCAAGACTAAAAACACATTTGTTTAGGATTGCCTTCGACTGTTCTAGTTAAACAGTTCAACTGAAACATCATTAGTTCAACTTTTTTTATTTTCTTTAGTCCATCTTTTTTTAATTTTCTGTTTTGTTTCTGCATTTTTTATTTTATTTTTTTTTCCTACTTGCTTTGATTCTTTTTTATTTTCCTATATTTTAATCATGTAAAGCACTTTGCATTGTCTTTGTACTGAATTGTGCTATACAAATAAATTTGCCTTGCCTTGCCTTGGAAGAAAAGGTTGGTGCAGTGGTGGAGCATGCAACCCATATCAGTCCTCTATTACACCCATAGTAGGATTGTCAAAAGTATCGATACTCAAAAAAGTATCAATACTGAAATGTTGTATCCGGATACAATACTCGTTTTTAAAAGTATCGATACAGTGCTACCACCAGTGACACCGAAGCAGTCATTCATCTAAAGTGCAGAATAGAGGACAATGCACTTTCAGAACACTTTATGATTGAATAATTCTGTGCACTTTAGTTTCAGACTTTTTTTTTGTAAGAGGTGCAGCTGCTGAGAATTATTTTTGTTTCTTAACTGGTTTGGCTAGTGTCATTGTTATGTGTGCAAAGCATAGCCAAGGAAGGAACACTTAATTTTAATTTTATAAGTTTTTTTATCAAGCTTGCTTAATATTGTGCACAGCATACAACCTCAAAATATTGTTCTTATTGTTTATTGTATTTATTTATTGTATTTGATCTATTAATGAAAATATTTCTGTAGAATTTTGGAGTCTTTGTTTTTATCCTTGTGGTATCGAAAATGGTATAGAGTATTGAATATTTTCCTTAGTATCGGTATTGAGTTGAAAAGTTTAGTATCATGACAACCCTACCCCATAGACCTTTGCTGAGTGTCTACCCCCAACGTCCACCCCTCTACTGTTCATCTAATGTCCATTTAAAGGCACAAAAAAATTGTTATTTTGCAATGTCTGAATGTAGGATTTGATTGAAGTATGTTTGATAAATACCTTAAAATGAATACATTAGCTTAAACACTAGTTTTTTTTTTCTTTTAACTACTGTATTGCTCAAATAAGGAAAAGGGCAGCTAACCTTTCTGCAAACCCCCCACATCCTGGACACCCATTGTCAGATAGACAGTTTCTTTTGTATTGTTACTTTGTACTGTAATTCCTTTACTTGGAGCAAACTGAAAATTTAGTCAAATTCCTTGTTCTATGCACCATTCTTATTCTATAAAGCATTTTCATTTATTACAGTCAGATCTGACAAATTGAACCTGACGAGTAGGTCCACCCCTTGGAATGGGGGTCGTTTTGTTTCTTTGACCCCATTCCATTTTGAATTGGGGAGGCTTCCTGGATGGGAAGTGGAACATTTTCAAATATGGAAAATAAAGTCCAGCGGATTGTTTTTTAACTTTTTTGGAATGACCTGGATGACTGAGGATCTTCACCAGCACAAAGCACACAACAGTTATACATTTCACAATTATAGAGACGCCTTCAGAAGTTTTAATGCAGGAAATGACAAAGTTCTTCTTTTAGCAGAAACTCACCGTGATTTCGCAGCAGTTCCAAAACAGCACTTGCCTTTGGTGGAACAAAGCCTTTACTTGTGTCTCCTCTGACCAAGCGTCCTATATTCAAATCAGTTATGCTAGAATATCAAAAAGAAATGTAAATAAATTCAGTTAGTAAACATGGATATTAGCAAAAGCAATCAGTTCCTATCCCCTGAATCACTGCTTATTTAATCACTGTACACCTGGTTGTTTGTAACTTAAGTAAAAGGACCATGACCATTTCACCTTGAATAAAGCAATTATGTGATTATTATAAGGCGTACCTTGCTAATGTTCCTATTACCTCATTTTTATAAAGACACATGCTGCACAATTTGTCCTAATTTTTTTGCAGGCCTTACGATTTGGCTCCAATCTGATATAGATGTTTTAGACAGACAACCATCCACGACCATCTACCTTTACCTGACTGCTGACTCAGCATCACTAACTGTTTTACTGCTAATACCTAAAATATTTACTATTTGAGAATTTTTTTTTTTTTTTCTGACAGACAAAATGCTTGTATAATATTTACCCATCAACATCCTTCTCTGGTTTGAGTGTGCTGAGAACTCGGCTGGTGAGGGAAGTAGACGGGAGGTGGAGGAAGACTCCGTGGACGCTGGGATCATCGTTGAGCCGCAGTAACTCTTCCACCGTCTACAACAGAGATGCAGCAGAAGGGTTCCTTTTAGGTCAGGAATTCTGAAAGCTAAATTACTCCCAAATAAATCAGGAAGATCTCCACAGACGAGAGGATCCCCCTCGTCTCTGTTTATAATGTTTTACAACTCCTCAACCAAAATGGCTAAATCAAATATTATATCATGAAAGAAGTGATTAACTAAACACGACTGTATAAAAATCACTAAACGGGATCACAAGCCACAAAGACTAACAGAAAATCTTGACTCATGTACAGACTTGCCAAAAAATTACAACTTAAACCTGAGTCAGTCTCACTTACTTCATCTTCACTGCAACTCTTTGCCAAGCAAATTTGAGTGGTTTTCAAACCAATCTGTGAAGAGACAAACATTTAAAGATCAAGCACTGAGTAAACGCAGACAACAAACGTTCACACAGTGGGGTCATCAGAATGGAAGATTACCTCGCCTGCTATTTTCTTATTGATCTCCAACACGCTGTTGTCTTCGCCAGCCTTGGAGATAAAAATAAGATCAGTGAACAAAACACAGAGACCAGATTGGGCAAGAATGTAACGGCGTCATTAAAAAGATACTCCTCGGGTCAAAGGTTGATCAAGTAAAAATTGGATCTCATTAAGCACAGATATATTTAATCACTTAAAGTTAAATAACAATTTCTGTTTGTTTTCAGGTACTTTAAGCTTCAAACTTTAACTTGCATTTTAAATAATCACTGAAAGCATAAATCCACACTAGAGCTCTGTCCTGTCTCACATTACCTGTAATATGACCAACATAGGCTGGATTTCAGGATTCCTTCTTTGGATGGCTGCGATTGCCTCCTTGGTATTGCCGACCACTTCCCTGCAAATGAGCAGTAAGGGACGTTACTTTACACACAACAGGAAGACCAGGAATAGAAATAGATCTTGAAAACACACCAAAAATACAGCTGCTCAAAAACCATACTAGTAAAAATTTAAATCTATATTTAAAGTGGGAAAAGGCAGAGTAAAATCCATACCAAATGTGCTGAGAGCATAAAGTTTGTACGAAACATACACCTCAAAAATGTCGACCTCCTGAACTCTTGTTTAAATAAATAAAAAATGGTTGCATACAGCCTTGCATCGTTATACAGGAACTTTATCAGAAAATAGCTTTTAGTATTGCCTAACTTTTATAAAACAGAAAAAAAGTTAGGAAGCTACATCTTGAGTTAGAATATAGAATTTGACAAAAAAATAAAAATAAAGCAAAAGGACTTAAATCAAATCCAACTGTATTGTGATGACCACACATATTACAATTTCACATAAGTTAACAATTAAATGTAACAACACTGCCCATATCAGCACAGAATGGACTCTCTTAAAGGAAGGTGGTGGTTTTAATTCTAATAGAAAATAAAGGGGATACCAAGACAGCCTTGGAAAAAAACACAGTGGAAATCATTTAGCATATACTAAATATTCAACCAGCAACAATACTAGTTAAGAGGATCTTTAAATTACATTTCCAGTTAATGTGTCTCTATTGATCATCTGCAAGGAATGGCCAACTAAATTCCTTCTTGCATGATATACAGACATCTGATTTAGACACAAAAAGTGTGAATTTACCATAATTATATTAATAATTAAAAACAGATTTCTTTCTTTACCAACACACAATGCCTTCATTACTCTAGAATACCATTAAAAAGGAGATAAATCAGCTGTTGGCATTAAGAACAATGTGTCTCCATCCAACTGGTCAAATATATGATCAGTTTAAAGGGAATGAATGCCAAATACAGGGTCCTAGTAACACTTTACCAATCTGGAAACAACGATATCAATATGAAGAATGCAATTCATTTATTTTTTTTTTCTGGCATTTCCACCAACAGACACTTCACATGCTGATGCGTCTCAGAAGCATTTTGCCTCTTTGCTTGTTTTGTTTTGTACTTGGCAAAATTTTGCCTGTACTTTCTAGATAACTAGCGTTTTATCTTTCAATCTTAAATAAAAGAAAAAGACATGAAATTACCCCAACTTTTTGAACGTGTAAGCAGATCTTACTTTATATATATTGGAACAAGGGAGCCGGATGTTATGCCTAGTGGGATGAGCCAATATAGTAAGACTGACCTACATTCTATCCATTTGTGTAAACATGAACTCTATATATGCATAAAGTCTGTAATTAAATGCTGAACCGAACATCGATCTTTCGAATTTACATAAAATTAAACATGATTTATGCTTTATGTCAAATATATGAACACCTCTTCAGAATGGAGATTTGAAAACCAAAATATTCTCATTGTTTCAGCTCATAAAATAGTAATATGTAAACTAGGGCTGCAACAACGAATCGATAAAATCGATAAAAATCGATAAAAATCGACTTTTAAAAGCGTTGGCAACGAATTTAATCATCGATTAGTTGTGTCGCGCGATTAATGCGTCATCCGCCGCCGCCGTCAACCGGGGGAAGAAAAAAAAATATGGCGGAGCGAGTCAGCGCCGCAGTTGCAGTGTTGCCAACTCAGCGACTTTTCAGACCCCTCCAGCGACTATTTTTCAAAAAAGCGACTAGCGAAAAATCTGGCGACTTTTTACAGGTGTCACTGGCGGCTTTTGCCTGCCTTGGGGCGCCTCCCCCATCCCAACGCCTTTTTCCCTCTCCCACAGGAATCCCTCTCAGTCAGAGCCGCAGGATTTTAGTGAGGAGTTAACCCTCAGCGTCCAGACTGCAAATGAAGCGCGCATGCGCCGGGATTGACTGCGCAAATTGATCACAATAATTAAAATAGCCTGCGCTTTGTAAAGTGAAAAAAGTCGTAACATGCAACTTTTGTAAAAACAAATGAACATGGCACGGAAGCACCACTGTTATGACGCAGCACCTGAAAAGAAAACACGTTGGAGCCTTCAATGGCAGTGAAGAGAGCTGATCAGCAGGATGAGTAACCGTGTTTTTTTCATTTTAAAGTGGGGAAACGTAAGTTAGTTTCTCAGGTAGCTCATCTGATGCTTTCCTTACCTTGTTAGTAGGTTACAGACAGTGATAAGGTTGGCTACTTATTTTACTTTTAATTTCATTTAAATTTGTTTAAGCAGCGTTTATATTTTCTTTATAAATAAATTAACTTGCAAATTATGAGGGCAAGGCTTTTAAAGTTTAAATCTTCTGGCAAAGATAAAGAAAAGAAGATCCTGCAATTTATGGAAGTAAAGCAGAACAAAATCCAGCAAGATCAGTAATATGTCAATTAATTATCTGCCACATTCCCATGTAAATATCTGTCTTTGGAGGATGTGTCATTTTTATTCCAAATACAATTTATAATTTGAATCACAGGGCTATTTTTTATCTCTATGGTTCAGTATTTTCTCAAGCAGCAACTTTAACTGCTATACTTTCCTGTCTTAAAAGGCAGAACTCTTCTAGTCTAAAAAAACTCATTTGTTGAAATGGGGGGACCTATTGTTTGAACCCCTTAGGGGCTTTAAAAAACAAAAATGCCTGTCTCTTTTTGCGCTTTATGAAACAAAGTAGCCTATATTTTGTGGATGTACAGCTACATTTCTCATGTAAGTTTGCGTAGTTTTTACACAAACATTTATTTTTCATATTGCACCAGTACAGTTAATGAGCAACCTGTACTTGTGGGCTTGTTTGTTCTGTCTAAAATGTTTATTTTGGAATAAAGAGGTTAATATAAAAAAAATTTTTTGTCCGATTCATCGATTAATCGAAAAAATAATCGGCCGATTCATCGATTTTTAAAATAATCGTTAGTTGCAGCCCTAATGTAAACTTCTGCCTCATTCATCCACATAAATCTATCCATGAAGCACGGAAGAGGATTAGGGCCACTGAAAAAATTTAAAAAGTTAACTGATTTTTAATTTTATGTCAGAATAAAAATCTGACCATTTTCTCAGAATTCTGACTTTTTTTTTTCTCAAAATTTTGGATCTTAATGTAGATGGGCACCATGAAGGAAGAGTTGTGGGAGCACTCAGCTCCACTGAAAAAGATGGGAGTTGTTTGGGTAGGCCAGTAATACGTTGTTGGATAAAGAAAGGAATTAGACAACTTTTGGGGTCCACAGTGATGCTATCTCATTAAAGACCGAATTCTGAGAAAAAAGTCAGAATTCTGAATTCTAAATAGTAATATGTAAACTTCTGCTTCATTCATCCATATAAATCTATCCATGAAGTACAGAAGAGGATTAGGGCCACTGAAAAAATTAAAAAGGTTAATAGATTTTTTTTATTTTATGTAAATATAATATGAGAAAAAAAGTCAGAATTCTTGCTTTAATTTTTAGAATTCTGGCTTTAATCTTAAAAATCTCACTTTTTTCTCAGAATTCTGACTTTAATCTCAGAATTCTGGCCGTTTTCTGACAGCTAACAAACATGTTAGCATCAAGTCAGAATTCTGAAGAAAAAAAAGTCAGAATTCTGAAAAAAAAAAAAGTCAGAATTCTGACTTTTTTCCCCATATTACACTGAAATTATATTTAAAAATCAGTGAACTTTTTTTGTTGTTGTTTTTTCAGTGGCCCTAATCCTCTTCCGTGTTCTTGAAGCGTTATTCTGTCTTTTTTTTTTTTTTGAACTTTATTGAAAATGTTGTACAAACATACAGACATATAGTTACATAGAACATTAGACAAGTGCTCTAATAACAAAAACAATAAATAAAGAAAGAAAATAATGAAAAGGAGTGTACATACGCTATTCTTTGAAAAATCTTTCAAAAATATATATGGATGTGGTGCTTTGTTTATGTTTCATGTAGTATTAAAATTCAAACAAGAAACATTTAAAGTTGGGGGATGTTTTGAAATGTTTGCATTTGTGTATACTAAATTTACCATACAAAATGAATAGATTTATAATAAAAGCAGCACTGATGTCTCCATGGACAAAATAAAATATTTCCCTTTTATGGTCAATTACAATGTTTGTTTTGAGTTTACACATTATATATTGTTTAAGAAGAGCCCAGAAAGTTGTAAGCGTTAATCTGTCTGTTTAGTAAGAACATTGGGAGGTTACATCATATGGCTGTAGTCCCACTGATCATCCGGAGGCACGTGGGAAACTGGCAGTTAGCCAAACCAGAGTAGGTTATCTCTCTAGCGAAATACAGCTCGAAATGATATACAATTTTAAAGAAATACGCCTAAAACAGAATGAAATAAAAGATGACCTTTTGGTTCATTAATTTTCTTACCCCACCGATCGATTGCATTCAGACCAGCCATCCTCTTTGCTTTGTTTCCCGAAGTTTGCAGTTAACGTGCGGCTGGTCCCGCTGCTAGGAGGGGAGCTAGCCGTCCGGAGGATTGTTCGGCTGCTGCTGGTCGCCACAGGAACACATCCCCGCGAAATGCCGCTAAATCTGCCTCCTGGACGGGAGGCACGCGCTCGGAGGTTACAGCAAGCGCTGCGAATTGTTGCCAGTTTCATGGTCACCTCTTACTCTTTTTCTAAAGTCTGAGGAGGGTGTTTTGCTCCCTCGAATAGTAGCAGCGAGGAGACGCTCCTGGAAAAAGAGAAAAAAAAGTTGAGGTAGCCTCAGGGAACTGATGGAGGTGCGCTTACTTCAGGGGCAGTCGGAAATCTAAGTGTCAACAGATCTGTAAGTGTCAGCAACTGGGGGAAAAAAAGTAACTGGTTTTTTTTCTACGTACAGGGGAGGCTACCTTTTTAGCTTTCAGCCTATCGGCCGCAAGCTTGAAAGAAATTTACAATTTCATTATATATTTAATCATCTTTCAACCGTGGGCTGTGACTGCACAGTTACTGTGTTTGGATATTTATTATACAGAAACAGAAACATGAGTTTCCAAATAAGCTCATAACTATGCCTTTCTATACTGATTAACATTGGATTTTAGTGTACCTTTATGTTTCTATGGAAAATCAGACAGTTCATGAACGCAACAAAACCAGCCATCAATAAAACTTGAAGAAAGTCTCAACCTCTAACACATTCTTCATAAAAATCTTAAGAAGAATGACTTACAAGTATGCGCATTTTGTGTTGGGTTGCAAGTGGAGCATCAAAATGCAATGAGGAGGAATTGTAACATGTGATGAAATATATCAAATTATAAAAAAGATAGAAAAAACTAATATAATTATAAAGAAATATATTTTAAGGCTTCAAGGGAACTAAAATAGAAATGTCGCCATTTCTTTAAGCTGCTGTTGGAAATGTTTCAACCGCACAGTTTTGCTGCTTAATTCCAGTTTTGCAGCTCAGTTTAAAAATGGGTTACAATCTATTAGAAATACAAAAATATATATACAAAGGTATTTATTGGTGCTGATAAAAATAGGAAGCATGTAGAGACATAGAAGTTATACTTTTAACATTATATAAACCTATATGCACAGATTTAAACACAACTCCTCTCCTTAGACTAAAGATTAATCATTAGCACATGAGGCATAGAAACATCAATAGCACAAAGGGTTACTGAGGCTTTCAGACACACACCATTCAATCATATGATGATCAGATGATCTTCTGCATCTAACCCTAACCCATCAAATTGTTTGTATACAAAAGTTTCTGCAGCAATTCTTTTTGGGCTCAACATTAATCTACTGATTTTTGTACCCAATTAAAAGCAAACTCATCTGCTGTAAACATACCATAATATACAGCTTTTAAATGAAGCAGTGTCGATCTATTAATTAAAAACCGCAATATCGAATCAGGAGGGCATAAATCCTATCTTAACTTATAGTTTTAGATGCCTCTTGAAATAATTCTTAGCAGGTATTGCAAGAATTTTGAGAGCATTTCTGGGCTTTGGACTATGACAAAAAAGTCTCTGTTCCCTTTAGTTCTAGCCCAGATCTTTCAAAATTAAAAAAGTTGTTGTTTTGACAATAATAAGATCTAGCAGATTGGTGAGTATTTACAAAGGTCTATTCTAAAATAGATTAAAAATCCAGAAGACAAATGCAGGGAAGCAAAAATGTCAAAGTTGGATCACTATATTTAACATTTATAAGAAATTGATCCACTGAATTAAAAAGAACTTGCAAGTGAAACAGTAAAGATAACTCCAACTCATTATATAAACTGCTACCATTGTTGAATCATGAGGAGATATTTATTTCTTCTCAGGCCTTCCTCTTCTCCCCATAAAATTGTTACACTGCTTGCTTCTTGTGACTCTTGTGGATCTTCAAAGTATCAATGAGAGCAGAGCTGCAATCAATGGCTGAAACTGAAGCTAGCATAAACATTAGAGGTATGTACAGCAAGAGCACTGGCATTGGCATGAGCTGAGCACATCAGAAAGACTCGTATGTAGGACAACCAATACATATCAGGATAACCTCTGGAGCTCGAAGCAAAAAGAATAGCCAGTATACACAGTACTCGAGTTCAGGGGGATGGCATCCCCCATCTTAAAAAAATCTTACAAATCATCCCCCTTCTTAAATGACCATCCCCCATAACATCCCCTGTGACATTTTATTACTGAATGTGTGTAATTTCTTCTATGTATCAACAGTGTCAGAGTTCTGGTTTTGTTATGTTTTTTTCTTTTGTGTATTCAGTTTTGCTTTGCCCCTTGTTTTCTAGTAATTTTGTTGTGTTTTCTGTTTATTTTCAGTTCTCAGGTTTTTATTTTTTTCCCTCTGCTGCCCTCTTGTGTTCTCCTTTTTCCTTAGCTCCTTTCCTGTTTCTTTCCTGTTCACACCTGTTCCCAATCTGCTCATCAGTCCTCCCTTTGTTTCTGTCTCCCTTAAATACTCTCTCTGTTCTGTTCTTCTGTGCTGGTTCCTCGTCAAACATCCTCCAACTCTGTCTCTCTAAATCTTACTCCTTGTGATAGTTTCCCCCCTGATGTCTCAATGATTTCTGGTTTGTTTGGACTTTTTTTTTATGTTTGATTTTTGCCTATTTGGATTCCTGGTTTTTGGTTTGTTTGGACTTTGTTTTAATTTTTGGATTTCCTGCCTCTGTGATTCAGCTAACCTTTCATTAAATCCACAAGAAAATCACCTCTGCCTTTCCGCCTATGCATTTGGGTCCACAAACCATAACCAAATTCTGAAAAACAGTAATGGCAATAATATTTCCCTTTCAACATTTGGCCGGCTGTGGGCTTATAGGTAGCATGAGCAAAGTAAATAAAATCAAAGAAGTGGCCTACCATGACAATGAAGCTGATCCCAGTGGGACATTTATCCTCTGCATTTGTCCCTAACAATGTAGGGGAAGTGATAGCCATGCCAGTCCAGGGACTGACTGCAGTTCTACTGTAAGGTACCTTGATCAAGGTCAATGACCGACGTACCTTACATGTAACAACCATACCATGCGGTATAGGTTAATAGATTATATTAATCAGGTTATGTATGCTTCCAAAAAAATAAAAATAAATCTACCATCCCCCCTTTTTTTTTTTTTTTTTTTTTTACAACTAGACTACTGAGTATATATTTAATTAAGATGTTAAAATATGTGCATATGTTTATTGTCAAATCGTTGTCAATTATTAGTTTGTCCAATAAGGATGTTGTGCTGCTTTGTTTTCCTGCTGGTACAGTGTGATCACTGTAGGTTCACCCTCACCTGGTTTTTGCCCCCTTAGGTTTTTGCTGCCAGCCTGGCAACCCCTTTTAAAATTATCTGGCTATGCCACAGCTTCATCTTAGAGAGTAACCTCAACTGAAAGAATAACCTTCTTAACAACAGAACTTAAGAATAAAGTTGTAATTTTAAGTCAGATATAAAATCAGTGTTTTACTAATGGGCAGTAAAACAAACATAAAGAGCTTGTTGGATCAGGACTACTGAAATTTTAAACACTAACAACTACTTTATTGTTGCTTACAAAATCGGTTTCCATTCAATACAATATATCTCTAAGCAGCCTAATTAAAGTTAAACTACTAGTTTGAAAAGGCAAATAGTCAGGGGCGCTATAGTATCATTTACATTTTTAAAGTAACTTTTATCATTAAAATTATCATAATATGAAAAAGTTAAATATACATTAACTTTAAACTATACATTTACATCCTATTAAAATAATATCAGCTTATTTAAAACAAAAAGCACAATAAAAGTTACATAACAATGTAAATTATACTACTTAGTGCATCTTTATAGCAGTTTTAAAGCTTGCATAAATTTTTTTATGGGTAGGGCAAAGGCGTAACTTTCTGGAGGCCTGGTGTGGACATGTCCCCACCAACTTTGGCCCAGTGTGGACAGTCCTCACCAATAATCTCCGCATTTTTTCACCCTTTCCGCTCATTTACTTTAGCCAAAGGTAACAGAGGCTGGGTGCAGCTAACTGTTCAGAGCCTTATGAGTGGTTGTGTTCTTGTTTACTAGTTAAAAAAGCTTCGCATCTCAGAGGACCAAGACTCCCAGTTACAGGTTAAAATTAACCTTTGTTCTTATTGTGCAGACAGAATCGGACTGCAGAGCTTCTATATATCTTAAAAAATTGCTTCTGGCATCATTATATTAGCAAAGAGGTTCATAAATCTTTTTAAACAGAGCACCGAGAGAAGTAGGGAGAGCTGCAGATTTAAAGGGGAAACAGATTTACTGGGATATGCAACACGCAATAAAATATATCTCCAAGTTTACCAGAACGTTTACAAGAACAACATATGCTCGTTAGGATTCCAGTTTCTGTGGGTTGTTTTTTTGTGTTTTTCTCTCTCCACCACTATGTGGTGTCCTCGTCCTCGTTGAGCAGCGGGCTGTCACCATCTTGACGCCAGAGTGTTTGCCAGTATTGGGAAGACTTTCTGTGTCACTGGATAAGCCTGGACCTTCTACCCCTAGAAGGATTTACTGAGTCTCACTGAGCAGGGGAAAACCTCCACATGATCCATTCAAGTCCACTCCTGGAAAACCAAGTGACAGTCCGCTCCTTCACTCCTCTGGGTCCAACGTATGTCTGCCTGTCCGCTCTCTAACGTGTTCCCTCTTGTCTGGATTAAACCCTCACAAACTGGATCCAAGGACAAACCAAGAGCCCCCCAAAATTGAGTGCCTCCCCAGCAATATTCAAGCCTGAGTCTATTTTCCAACTGTCCCTGAACTGATCACTGTGATCTCCCCTTCAGAGTTTCCAGTTCTGGTTCACCAGTTTGCTGAGTTCCAGCATTGTTTCCCCACCGAGTTTCAATCTCCATCAGTGTTTGCTAACCTACAATAAACCTGTTAAACTTTTACCTTTGGTCTCTGAGTGGTTCTGTGCATTTGGGTCAGATCTTTCAAGCCCATTATGACAATGCTATGCTATATTCAAAATGCAGTATATCCATATTTTTCTGGATGAATGGAATTGAAATTTTAATTCTAGCAATGCATGATATATCGATTTTGGCATCAGAATCGACTGTTATCATTTTTTATGCATTATGGTATTTGGGCCCTATATATAATGCACTAAAAGGCATCTCTCTAACTATCTATAAATATCAATATCAGTGTATTATGATTATTTTGTGTTCTCAACAATAGGAAAGCATTCAGTAAATAAATGCTTGAGCTAAGTTTTGGAAAATACAAAAACCTAATGAAAGCGTTTGGGTGGAGTAACTGTAGGTCCATCAGCCCCCACCCTTAGAGCGTCCTCCCCACCAACTTTCATTACAAAGTTATACCCTTGGGTGGGGGGCCCAATATAAATGTCTTTGGGTGGGGGGGCCCAATATAAATGTCTTTGATTGGGCCCAAAATTCCTGGTGGCTCTCCTGTCTACTTTTTGCTTTCTTTCATTGAGAGTTCAGGCTATTTTCATAGAGCAGTGATTAAAGAAGCTGGTTCTACTTGTCTGTTGGCGTGATCTCTCTTACCGTCAGAATTTAAAAGTAACTTGGGTGTGGCTGGGAAAATCTTTTTCTTATGCATATTTCACCCCAGATTTTTTCCCCCCCACTAATACCAGATTTAACAATAAACTAAAAAATGAGTAATGTGACTTGTTAACATAAAAAACAACACCTTTTAATCTGCGTAAATGTTTGTGTTTGGAAGAGGTGCACAAATTCAAATAGTCTCCCAGTTGAGTCGCACCTTGCGCATCAATACATTCCCACACCCTGGTCGTCACGCTGAGCGTCACCAGACCAAAGCGACCAGACCTCATTCCTTAAGTCTTTTCTGGTTCTTGACGTGGCGAAATTCATCGCTCGAACGAAACCACACAACAATCCCTGCTTCAGGGCTCCAAACATATCGCCATTACGCATGTAGAGAGCTTTGTTTCTCTGCTCGGAGCGCACGGCCTCAGAACCGGAGGATGCTGCTGAGGCGCTGCAATCAGTTGATAAACAAGAGGCAAAGTTTGATTTCCTTTTAGAACTGAGCAACAAAGAGGAAAGGAAATAAAAAAAGGTAAGGATCTTGCGCCTAACCAAGGCAAACTTGCAAGAGACAAAATTCTTTTAGCTCCTTTTACAGGAAATGAAAGATGAAAAGATTAGGCCTACACATCTTAATGATAACCACATTCATAAGATAAAGGTTTGTTTTTATCTTAGGAGAAAAATCGTGATGGATATATATATTTTTACCCATTTTGCCTAATTTTCAAATATTTTTTAATGTGTCGTTTCTTATGTTAGAATATTAGACTAGTTCAACTAATTTTGTCAAAACAAACAAAATCGCAAGTATGAAAAATATATAACCACATAAACAAAATGAACACCTTACATTTTTAGTACTAATCATCATGTTATGCATTATGATTCTAGTTATTCTAGTTATAATTTTTTTTTCTTTTTTGCAATGTTCTGACCCCACAATTAATTTGTTTACAGTAATGTATTTTATTCATCATTAAAAGCGAAGACAATATGATCTAGGATAATTTATTCGATTAAAAATCTGATGGCCTACTTAGTTAAGAAGTCAACACTAATGTTGTAACAAAGAGGCCATATACATCACAAGTTGTAGGAACAAGTTTGGCCAGAAGTTACTTTGTCTGTTCTTTGGAGAACCTGTTAAGCCAGTGATTGGTGTTGGGTGGGTCAACCCTGAAGGAAAGCACCTCTAGACAACATTTTTTTCTGGATTGTCCTTTACAGTAAAAAAAAAAAAAAAAAGCATGATGTTTTGTCAAACTGTAAAATCTAACGTTTTGGGGTTTTTTTATTTACCAGGTGAGTCATCTCCATTGATGTGCATCAGAGGGACCGTTATCAGAGCAAGAAACTCTTCCTGAAGTCTGTAGTCTTTCTCTGAAATCCAGTGCAAACATGAGGGACAGACTAAGCCACCTGCAGGAAGTGTCCACTGGCAGTATCGAAACCTCTGAGTATGCAGAGTCCACCTTTTCTGACACCTTTAGTAATGTCGACCTGGAAGAGGAGCTACCCCATCAGGCAGTCGTGTTCGACAACAGCCCTGCTCTCTCCGATGTCTTTGCTCAATCCCAGGACATCCACCGAGAGGTACAACTTATCCGAGTTGAAGTTAAAAGGCTCCGTGAGCAGAATTCCCGCATGCTCCATGGCAACACTACCATGAGCACAATTAAAAAAGACTCCAATGCTATAGGCGCAGACATAAAGAAGAAGGCTGAGGATGTCCTAGAACGCCTGCACAAAATGGACGGAACAGCCCACAAGTTAGAGCAGGAACATGGCGAAAATTCTGCAGTCACACGCATCGCCCGAACCCAGTACGCTTGCCTCAGCAATGGTTTTCGAGACGCCATGTTTGACTATAATGAGGCTGAGATGACCCATCGAGAAAACTGCAAAGCCCAGATCATGAGGCAGATGGAGATTGTTGGCCGGGACGTGACGGGCGAAGATGTGGAGGAGATGATCGAGAAGGGCCAGTGGAATATCTTTACTGACAATGTTGTGAGTGAAGGCAAAACGGCCCGATCAGCTCTGTTCCAGATTGAGAAGCGCCATCAGGAGCTCTTAGATCTGGAGAACCGTATCCAGGGAATCCATGAGATTTTCCTGGACATTGCCCTACTGGTAGAGGAACAAGGCCCAATGCTGGATTACGTCCAAACAAATGTTCAAAAAACCGACGCAGGCATACAAGATTCCATCGTCAAGCTTAAACTGGCTAAAAAACATGACAACAACAATCCGTTTAAGAAGATGTTTTGCAGTTGCTTCCCATGCTTTAACTAAGGACTGGAACCATCTGCAATGTAAAGTCTTTGATAAATGCATTCCTATTATTGTTGCAAAGCAATACTTGTTATTGAAGGACAATAATATCAAGAACTTAAATGAAGGTCTAACTGTAGAATCAGTAGCACAGTCATCTGCACTATATGTAGAGATAACAATATGCTTCTGTATTAAAGTTCATTCTTAAGTTATATCCACGAGTATCTAAATTCCTGGGATGGAATGGTGACCTGCCCTGGATGCACCTCTGGCCTAGTGACTGACCCTGAGAAAGTGTACATATATATAGAGAGAGAGAGGGAGAGAAAAAAAAAATCTGCCAGTGTCTCAAATCATAATTTTATGAAATGGATGTGATGAAAATTATTCTAAATTATTGTTGATCTTTTTTGCCATTTGGACTCTATTTAAACCTGGTTGGGACTGTTTCCTTCAGCAAATTAAACTGGATTGAGTGACCTGAGATTGCACATCTCCTTATTTACAACCTAAAAATTTACTTAAGATGTTATTGTGGTTGTTTTTTGGCTAAATGTTATATGTCATGTTACCTTTAAGTCATTATCAACTATAGATGTCCAGGCAATAGTATCTATAATTGCTCAGATGTCACATGAATAAATCACACAATAAAAATAAATTGTTATGGTGCAATCACACTGTTTGTGCACACTTTGATCCGTTTATTTAGCTTTTGCACCTTTTTGTTCATTCTCTAGTTACATATCTAAAGTACTACAGATTTTCTTATCAGTTTATTTAGCTTTTGGAATATCTTAATATATGAACCCTTGTAATGTTAGGCTTAAAGAGGAATTCTAGTATTTAATAAAGGATTCCTAAATACAATGCATATTTCCTCTATAATAAATCAATCCAAAATGTGGAATTAGAAAATGTTTTTCAAGTTTGATTTCAAATTGACAGATTTAAATGTTAAATTTGAAATGGCTGTTGTGCCATTATTCTCCACAGTCCTCTGTCTCTCCATATGTAGGTTTATTTGAAAGTAGAGTGCTGCTTCCAGCCATTTACATCGCTCCTGTTTTAAAATCACTTGCTTGAAAACATACTGTAGGACAGCATCTGATGACATCACAGTAGGTAGTGGGAGATTTTGTCTGTGATGTAATAAAAAAACAGATCCTTCACAGAAGAACAAGCCTTGATGGCTATATCAAGCTTGAAATCAACCTGTTTAAAAATTTATTTATTGTATGTGCACTTAACTTTTTATCATACATCTAATCTTCCAGCCAGTTTCGTTTTAGATTTGCCTTCATGCTGTAAAGGAAAGCTCTTTACGCCTTTAATCACTCGGGAGAAACTCTTTAAAAAGCATTTCATAATGTATATATACATTAAATAACCACGAGACAGGACAACAGATTTTGGGATAAATCATAATTTTACTCAGACCATAGAATTTGCTTAGTGTTACAGAAGGCAGCTCTTACCAACCGGGCTTTCTTATCATTGAAGACGGACGTGAATCACAGGAAAAGAAACATTTTATACAACTCCAGTAAGCCACACCACCACAACATTACAGCATACAAATGAGGAGTCATCCCTCGCTCCAGCCATATCAAATTATTACAGTGTCCCAGATAAAAACACTGAGAACTTGCTTTCTGTGTCCCCATTTCATTTCCAAATCTCTGTTATGTACATAATAAACATGATAACTGAATATCATGACAGAAGAACTGTCCTAATTAGATAAACTACTTGGGAAAAGATTAGTTTTTACACATGACATGCAGGTATTATTAGGGCTTAACAGACTCACACATCACCGATAAAAATAATACTAGCAATGCTCTCAGGTAGAGAATAAAATAATGCTTAGTTTGGTTCTGAATTGCAGTGTACCTGTTTAAACATTTGAAGCCTGTGGATGAGAAACCAACAGATGATGAGCCAAGAACGTTCTGCTGAATGGAGCCTAAGACATACAATAGGGCCAAAAAGCATTAAGTCACCAATGATTGGGCAAGTTCTCCTACTTAGAATGATAAAAGGTCTGAAATTTTCAGTCAACTATAAAAGACAAAATGAGAAAAAAAAGAAAAATTAGGGAAATTACATTGTAGGGTTTTCTAAATATTTTGTTTGTAGGTTAGGGTGGAATATTAATGTTTGGTCAAAAGCACAAGTTCAGCTTAATACTTTGCAGCATTTTGGCCCATTCCTCAATCTCTTCTAGATCCTCTATCTCTTGTAGAGCAGTGATTTTTTGGGGCTGTTGCTAGGCAACACATACTTTTGAACTACCTCCACAAATTTCCTATGGGGTAGAGGTCTGGATACTCGCTAGGCCACTGAAGAACCTTGAAATTTCCCTCCCTCTTTGGCTGAGGGGTGTGTTTTTGGACCATTGTAATGCTGGAAGACCCAGCCATGCTCCATCTTCAGTACTGATGGAGAGGGGTTTGCCTGAAGATACGTGGCCTCGTTCCTTTTTTTCCTTACAGAAAAAAACATCATGGTTCCACCTTTATGCTTCATAATAGGTATGGTGTTCTTGGGATAAAACTAAATTCTCCCTCAAACATATACAGTACCTGTTGAGTTTGTTCAAAAAGGTTTTATTCTATTTTAGTTTTATCTGACCATTTAATAATCCCCTGATCCTCCTCTGAACATCCATATTCTCTCTGGCAAACTTTAGAAGGGCTTGGGCATACTGGCTTAATCAGGGATGAAAGGCCAGGCATAGTTAGAGTAGTGTGTTGTTGGTGGTAGTGCCTATTACTTTAAACCTAGCTGTCTGCAGGTCATTCATCAGATACTTCCAAGTAGTTCTTTTCTTTCTTATTTTTGCTCATCTTTCTCATGATTATTATGACCCTTTGGTCCCAAAGGTTATCAATTGTTAATGTTAATGTTTTACTGAAAATGAAAAGGAGTAAAAACACAATACAAAGAAAAAATGTCCATGTTGGTTTAACACTAATGACTTGCATTCTTGTTTTTTCCCCCCAATTTTAATAAATCAGTATGTCCAAGTCTGTTCTTTAGTAAATGTCACTGGATATTTGTTAATAAAACTAAAGGCAAAAACATAAATTATAAAATGTGAAAATAATGCTTTTTAATATTGAGGTACTGTTTTGGAATGGCAAAATTGCACAATTTGTGTTATTTTTTATATACTAGATGTCGACCAGAAGAGACGGAGCAGACTGTACTTCCTAAGAAAGCTTAGGACCTTCAGTTTTTGTAGGAAGATGCTGCATATCTTCCATAAGTCTGTTGTGGAGAGTCTGAGCTCTTCTACCATTAACTGCTATGGTAACAGCATCAGAGCTACAAAGCTGATAAAAAAAAGTCTGCTCTGTTCTTGGAACTCCTCTAAAACCTCTGAGGATTATTTCTCAAACGAGAATTCTTCATAAAGTGAGCAAACATTATAGACAACAGTGAGCATTCTTTTCAGAAGATTGTTAAACAACAAAGAGTTTTTTCCGTCGGAGGCTTCTCCAGATTTGATAGTAGACAGATCGCTACAGAAGATCATTCCTGCATACACCTATCAACACCTATAACATCTCATTGGAAAGCGTCCCATGAGTTACTGGAACATTTTAATTTCCCTTTAGGACTAATAAAGTATTTTTGTTTTGATTTGAATCAATCCGTAGCAAACCTAATCATATCTGCATCAGTAGCAAATCTGATCCGACTAATTCCTTTGAAGCCTGCAAGTGGTCCTAAGGCACTTTGGACAACCCGGATTTATATTATTATTGAAATAAGTAATGGCAATCACTAATAAGACAATTAGTGATCTTATTATTCACTGAAAAAAATATTGTTCTTCAATCTAAATTTTATTATTGTTTTTTTCCGAGAATAAATATATAAGTAAATATAATCTAAATATTTGTGCCTCTTACCCTTTCTTTTTTCAATTTTAAATAAACATGACTGGGTTATAAAGTATTTTAACCAAACAATACACTCATGCATAAAAAAGAAAATAGAAAAAAAAAAACATGCAGAATTTAATTCCAATTACAAGCTGAAATGTTTTCCTCCCCTCCTAAAGAGTTCTGCATATCCAAATTACCGCAGTTCTTGGATCTCTTCACTGATATATAATCACACGAAGGAACTGTGCTGCAATTCAATTCAATTTAGTCTATTTATTTATACAGCACAAACTGACAACAAATTTTGTTTCATGTTGTTTTTCAGTGTAGTCCTGTTTCTCTGACTGTGACAAACTGTATGTGCTCTCTTTCATCCTCTGACATGGGAGCTGGGTCTTTCCTGGAAAGAGCCAGGTGTGCACCTGGTTGACAGTTGCCTTTTGTATCTCTGCTTCTGTCTCATTGAACCCCAGTCGGTCTCAGCAGATGGTCGCTCACACCATTCTTCTGGAGGTTTCTTCCTGTTAAAAAGGAGTTTTTCCTCTCCACTGTCGCTCCAAGCGCGCTTGGTGTGAGGGATTGCTTTTGAGCCAACGAGCCAATGCAATCAGCTGGTTTTCCTTAGATAGAAAACTTTTAATCAATTTGACTGTATGATCTGTTAAACTGTAAAGTGCCTTGAGATGACATGTGTTGTGAATTGGCGCTACTCAATCCAATGATTCAGACAGATTTCGAATTCAGCAAACTTAAAACGGCTAGTATGTTTGTCCAGTGGCAAAGAATGAAAGAAAATTCCTCTGCAGATGTTTCGGTAAGATTTTTTTTTAGATTGGACTGTCCCTTTAATGAGTCACAAAATCTTTATAGCAAACAATGGAGTGAGAGGATGTGTTTTTGAGGAAGTTACTTCGCTTTAGTGGGAAGGCCTTGGTATGTCACCTGTCTGGTAGTGACGAGCAGCCATACAGACAACTTACTTCCTTCTCATCAGACTAAAAAGATGCTCTCACAAGCTCCTTAGCACAAGCAAAAGAGACGGGCTGCAGGGGGTTTATTTAATTTTTTGGATTCTGTGAGACTCCGAAGAGGTAAGTTGTTTTAATTTTTGAGTTAAATGACTTCTGATTTTGATCTCATTTGTTAAATTGAAATCTCCTGTTGTAGTTAAAGTATCTATTGCGAGCCACTTTAATGCTCAGCAATTTGTTGCTAACACTGTTTTGGTTTCAGCAAGAACAATTTCTGGATTTTCAGTAAATATTGTGTCAACTTTTTGCAGATTTGTAAACCAAAG